CTTAAAATATGCCTGCTGAACGACTTTCGATGAGTCTTATAAATGCCTGGAATTGAAAAACAGTAAAGGGAGTAACTAGTAAAGTGAGTGTAATGGCGGCGGTCGTGCTTGCCAGCACTGTGATAACAGTCAACAGTGCTACTTCTAAGTGCTGTCGTGTAATTTATGCAAATTTCACGAAAAAAAACTTTCAATTATAAGAGAGAAATCCTAGAATGGTGACTACTGAGAGTAAGAGTAAGACGTGGAATTTGTCGTTCAACGCCGAGCAAGAATCAGGAAATAAACTAATTGTTAGACTGTAAAGTCAAAAGTGTAGTAACTCTGTCACTGGTCACAGTGGTACTTTTATGTGGTTTTTATGCGCGGAGCTTAGCCTGTCACTCGCGCGTATCTTCGAACAGTAGAGCCTGTAATCCCCAGCTAAATATGATGCGGTGAAACATTATAATTATAAACAATAGACCGAGATTATTAGCTGCTCCTTCGAAGGATCCTACAAAGAATCCTTGCGAATATGTAACACTGACTAACACGGGGAAACTTTTGTTCCACTTGTCTCATGATGTCCTGCTTTGTAAAAATTATTCTAACGGGAACTAATTGAGACAGGATAGCTACGATGATCGAGGTGCACTGCGGATTATAGTTGTCTTTATAGTCGGATCCCAACCGTTCTAAAAGGCTATCTCGTTAGCTTTTCGTGTTAAAAGCGATTTCTCAACGGTTATCACCTCTCTAGATGATTCTTAAAACATTTGGACTTCATTGCATTTTTGAAATAAATGCAATGAGGGCGTTTTCGGCCACACCCCTTTTCAGGGTTTCGCGGTCAATCTAATTTTTGTATTTCAGCCCAGGAAGGTTTTAAAGACTATTCCGATACACCAAAATGTGCCTAATAGCCACATTTATATACAACTTATGAAGCAACATATACCTTAAAATGCTTCGTTTCGGAAATATGGCCGAAAAACGGTTTTTGGCTTGAAGCAGTTCATATTTTCCGTGATTTTTGGCATTTTCGCCTAGGAAGGTCGCAGAGACTATTCTGATACACTAAAATGTACATAATGGCCACATTTATATACAACTTATGAAGCAACATATACCCTAAAAGGCTTACTTTCGGAAATGTGGCTGAAAAACGAATTTTTGCCGAGCGAACAAGACAGTATTCACAAATGGGCTATTGGACTGTTAACTAAAAAGGTCTTAAAGAAGATTCATGAGGAACATAGCATTTGTCACAAGATGTAAGATGACTCACTTTGTGTCCAGAAACACCTACAAAAATTGGAGAATGATCTACTTTATTGGGCATCTCTCTTAATGCTTTAATGGGCCAGGACAGCAGCATATTTGTGTCTTACGAAAGGGCAATTTTTCAAAATTACGGTTTCTTAAGGTCAAAGGATCGGCTGCTAACAGCAAATTGTTCGCAATTGCCGACTCATGTACATCATATACTCAAAAACGCTCACTTTAGGAGTCATTAGTAAATAACTACTACATGATTTGTGACAACCCCAACAATTTTTCCTTGGCACCAATTTAAATAAAATGTGTTTTTTTTTTTTTTTGAAAATTCAATTAATCATTATATATATAAATCAAGCGTTACATTTCAGCCATGCAAAATTACAATGACATATTTTGATATACAAATTGATGAATGGTACTGCAATATAAGTTGGCTAATGTTTGGCCGGATGACTACTAACGAGAAAAATAAACTTGATTAAACATAATAATTAATTCGGCTGAACCAACACATAGCTAGAGCCACATTAACGTTGTTGACCAAAATTCAATTTCAAACTTTTTATTTATATTCATGCCATGAAACCATGATATATGTACCAAGAATACCGCACCTAAAATAAATCGGCACTGGATCCGGGCCAGATTGTTGCTTGACAGCTGACCAGTACCCCACTTTAAGTGCCTCGACCAATATTGATCTGTAATCCCTGGATTGAGATCTGTTGGCCGCAGTTTAATTTAGTTAATTTCCTATAATACCGCAGTGGTTTGGTTCTCACTTCAGAATGACCCCATATTCTTTTTTTTGTCGCATAGATTTTCCCATTGTATGATAATGCGTGTGATTCCCTCGTTTTTTAATCAAGTGGTGACTGGCTAGTTCTTCTGTTATTACAGCTGCCTCGAGATCTTATCTGGGGCATGGGCACTAACTAAGAACATTAGAACTGTAATTCTAGAACCTCATATTAAGGTTACTTGGCAGAATAGCATTAGCAGGGTTCAAGATTTGACTGAGGGCATTCAGGTAACATACCAGGTTCATATCACCAGTTGAGGTGGATCTTAATTTCGGCATGCAATGCCTTATAAGTTATAAGCTTATAGTAGGATCACGGGGTTTATATAATAGAAGGTCTCGAGATGCTGATTTAGCTATTTAGGTTTCACATGTGAAATTTTTCCAGCTTTGGGTAAAGTGCTAAAGTGGATTTTAGAGCGGGGAGGGGGTCTAAATGACCAAAATCTGAACGATCTCTTACTTACGGGGCACTAGTACTACGGGACAAGGGACGGATATCGGGCCTAGTAGCTGTTTTCTAATGAGAGGCTGGGGTATGGACCTAGATGGTCAACGTGAGGATAGCATGAGGATTTAGGATGCTCTGCCTGCCTTTCGTGGGGTCTTGTAACCCCGAAAGCTGGTATATCTTATCTAAATTAACCTTGGTTACATCCCGTTTCGAATATATAATTAGATTTATAGGTCCAATATCAAGCAAGAGTCTGATCTACGGTACTGATGTTACACTTACATGATCTCCGACGCAATGATCTCCGAAGTCCGATCTTAAAGTTGGATCTCAGAGCCAAAAAGAGGAACCTACGCCTTGGTTCCTCTCTTTGAGAGTCAAACAGGAAATTCGGTGTTATCAACTCAAACTCGGATTCGTAGCTCAATTGAAAAACCAAAGAATAAAAATCTGAATGAATTTCCCGAAATCCTAAAATTAATATCAGGTTGTATTCGATTCAGTGGCCCAAACTCCAGTTTGGGCTTACGAGACTTAAGTTCAAGTCGAGGAACACTTTGATTCAGCATGATCCTTGTCTAGTTGGAGTTTTCGCACATCATGCATCTACTAATCACTCCTAAACTGAGAGTTTTAGAGTCGAATCTCGAACCCTGCCATTCAGTCAAGTAATCTTAATCTGAAGTTCTAGAATTACAGTTCTAGTGTTCTAGTACTAATGTATTAGTGCCCTAGATAAGATCTCGAGGCAGCTGTAATAGCAAAAGAGCTAGCTAGTAACCACTTGATTAAAAAACGAGGGAATGACACACATTATCATACGATGGGAAAATCTATGCGAACCAAACCACTGCGGTATTACTATTTAAATGGTAAATGAGCTAAATTAAACTGCAGCCAACAGATCTCAATCCAGGGATTACAGACCAATATTGGTCGAGGCAGTGAAGTCAATTATAATTATAAAGTGGGGTACTGGTCAGCGGTCAAGCAACAATATGGTTTTATGGAATGAATAAATTAAAAGTTGAATTTTGGTCATTACATTTTGGCTAAATTGGTGCCAATGAAAAATTGTTGGAGTTTTCACAAATCATGCAGTATAGTTAAACTTATTTACTAATCACTCCTAAAGTGAACGTTTTTGAGTATATGATGTGCATGAGTCGGCAATTGCAAACAATTTGCTGTTAGCAACTGACCCTTTGACCTTTACTTTGACCTTTACTAAAGAAACCGTAATTTTGAAAAATTGCCCTTTCGTAAGACACAAATATGCTGCTGTCCTGGCCCATTAAGAGAGATGCCCAATAAAGTAGATTATTCTACAATTTTTGTGAGTGTTTCTGGACACAAAGTGAGTCATCTTACATCTTGTGACAAATGCTATGTTCCTCATGAATCTTCTTTAAGACCTTTTTAGTTAACAGTCCAATAGCCCATTTGTGAATACTGTCTTGTTCGCTCGGCAAAAATTCGTTTTTCAGCCACATTTCCGAAAGTAAGCCTTTTAGGGTATATGTTGCTTCATAAGTTGTATATAAATGTGGCCATTATGTACATTTTAGTGTATCAGAATAGTCTCTGCGACCTTCCTAGGCGAAAATGCCAAAAATCACGGAAAATATGAACTGCTTCAAGCCAAAAACCGTTTTTCGGCCATATTTCCGAAACGAAGCATTTTAAGGTATATGTTGCTTCATAAGTTGTATATAAATGTGGCTATTAGGCACATTTTGGTGTATCGGAATAGTCTTTAAAACCTTCCTGGGCTGAAATACAAAAATTCGAGTGACCGCGAAACCCTGAAAAAGGGTGTGGCCGAAAACGCCCTCATTGCATTTATTTCAAAAATGCAATGAAGTCCAAATGTTTTAAGAATCATCTAGAGAGGTGATAACCGTTGAGAAATCGCTTTTAACACGAAAAGCTAACGAGATTCCGTTTCGTCCCTGACTATTACATATTATACATAATATTAATAATATTAATCTGAATTACAATATAAAATTGTATTAGTATTAAACGTTAACCTCGAGAAATGGCCCGAGATTGATGGAATAGATACATAGAATAACAAATGATATGATTATTTTACTAAAACCCCTAATTGGGTAGCGGACCCCTGCCAGTGCCTCTCTCACCCAAATAATTGCAATTGGAAATGCAATTTATTTTGTGCAAATTTCTTAAAAACCTCCAGATAACTATTTCTTATTCCTGTCATCTTAGATATTGAATTAGAATGTTTTGAACTAAAAATAAACCTGCTGAACGACTTCCAATGAGCATTATAATGCCTGAAAAACAGTAAAGAGGGTATAATAGTATGGGAGGTATAACTATAAGGACAACGGTCATGCTTACCAGAACTGTGACAAACACGAAATTAGTTCTTTAGATTCTACTTTATGACCTAAATTCAATCCACTTGCAATATACTTCCACTTTCCAGATTGAGACAAAGAAGAAAATATGCAATCAAGCGAAATACTATAAAATAGCGTGATTGTATTTTCAAATTACACCTGAGCATGCCTGATTAACTTAAGAGTAAAACTAAATTTTAAATTACCATAAATAACAAATTATTATCTCGGGCTCAAAACAAATGCCATTAAAAATAAACTATTAACAAATTTTGAGTCATCGTTTGTCCAATGACCACTAATTGCCGAACTCCTCTCATTTTCCGACCAGTTTAATGATCCTCGTCCACTTACACCTATTTATCAGTATCGAGGGTGCTTGTTGAGGTGTCCACTCTCATTGGGTATTGCCTGGTCCCGTCCGTGTAACCAAGTGATTCGTTTAGCGGCATACCTGGAGCATATCCTGACACACCTGCAACAGAAAACACTTTTTAATACTTTCTACCTACTCGCATGTCAAGCTAACTTGACGTACGATCAGTTCTCAAATTTATTGGTTGGATGACTTAATATTAGCTTTACAAAACAAAACATCTAACCCATACAGCATAGTTGTATTCATAATTCTTGATAATAAGGTTTAGTGATACCGTCAGATTATATTATATACCTAAATCATGTGGCCACAGTTTCATTTTCACAACAAAAATGATTTCAGAAGCTATTCAATGAGTATCAGAAATTGTCCGATCCTTGACAATACTAAGTTTGATCTTAGTGAAGAGCCTGATCCTTTTGTTACAACAGAAGATAATGAGAGGATTGGCTGACGACATGACAAGAGGTGTGATGTAGTAGAGGGAAATGTTGCTTAAAATGGGGGACTCCTCCGGGTTCTCCACAACCCCCGAACTCCAGTCTATCCTCCTCCCCCCGACAGCCCCGACTATCATCACCGTGATAGACACCACCGTGTGGACACTGATCACAAGGTTCATTATCAGTATTGTGATTATACTTTGTCTCGTGTGAGCTGCTGTTGCGGGGTGAAAGGACCGGTTAAGTCTGATCGTGGTGATAACGGATACTATGAGTCCGAACCAGGCATGTGCGATGATAACCCAGTGGGCTGCGAGGGTTAGGAACCCGCAGCCGTCTGTGATTACAGTTTGGAAGTTTGTTGACCACTGCGAAGTTGAGAGAGGACATCTTAAGACACTCCACGTGACCGCTCCCAATATGGGTCCCACTGAAAAGAAAACAAGGTGTCCTATTAGAACTTTGTTCTTGATTCTCATCATGGGATACCTGATTCTGAGCCATCTGGTTACTGCCAACATTGAGGTTAATATCGCTGAAGCTCCACCAAGAGTTCTGAATAGGACGAAGTGTATCTGATCTAGTCTTGTTGCTGGACGAAGTAGAGGTTCTGGTGTCGACTTGGCGAGGGTGATGAACATTATTATCGGGAATGTGATGTTTGTGAGGAAGTCTGACACTGAAAGGAGGCTGAAGAGAAGGGAAGATGCCAACACATTTGAACTGAGCTTGGGGAATCTAAACCAGAAAACTAGAGGATTGAGGATAGTTGAGGTCACAAATACCAGGATGCATATCATCATGAAGATATAATCCAATATCCTGCTGCTAAATATCGCCATTTATTCACCTGCTTGAGTGTTTCCGTTTAAGTTAAATCCCAGAGTTTACATTAATATACTAAAATACTGCGCAGTAAGTTGTTTATAAACTGTACACGAAAAAAGTAAGTTGTTTATAAAGCGTGTCCAAACTAAAAAAGCAAGATTTTTATAAAGTATAAACTATTCACGAACCACAATTTATACCAAAGTAGTACAAAACCAAAAGTAAATTGTTAATAAACCGTACACCTGCCCACCCTAGCATTCTCATTTGCTGAATTAAAACAGACTTTTGGTTTCGTAATACTTCAGTTTACAAGTTGACACTTAACTAACATATTTTAAAATATAATTACTTCTAGTATAGAGTAGTTTAAAAGTCTGTCAGTAGTGGGCGGTGGTAATCAGCTCCATTATTATAGCATATCTTAAATCTTGGCTGAAGCCTTTAACGTTTTATAAATTCTAGTAACCACTATGAATATGGTATAATTCAAGGTCAAATTTTCGGGCTGATGCTCTTAATAAGTCAGTACGCCCAATTATTACGCACATGGCCAGCTGCATTCATCTCATTTATCACAAAATGACCATATGTTGGGACTATCTATCTCCGGAGCTTGAAGCAGTAGGCCCTCTAATTCCAAATTGCTTTAGTAATAAAATGTACCAGCACCCATCAAAATGAACGTTTGAAGTTAAATGGTATGCTTACAACGTTAAAAATACTTCTTCTGGTCAGGTCATCATGATCAAGTGTTAGCATGATAACCATGACTGCCCAAAACCACAAACAGTAAAGATAGCACTGGCGGTGGTGATACTACTGAACGAACACGAAAGTGGTCAACCAGCACAAGTTGGCATCATATTCGGACCAAATGACTGTAACTGTAAGCGCACCACCAATCATATTTCAGTCTAGGTTTATCATGCCGGTTTATCCAAACTTTTATTAAGTAAAATGAAACAGTATTTTAATAACCGGTCATAATTTAAGTAGCCTCATTATGAATATGAAACTGTGGGAATGGAACGGGAACAAAGTCACGTCCAAAGTGGACTATGATATCATTCGGGCTTACCTCTATCACCGTAATCTGGTACTCTGAAATAAAAAACATTGATATTATTATTACTTTAATCAGACTAAAACAAGCACCACCTACGAATATGGGATTATGAAATACAATATTCTAACTTTACTCTTGTATCAATTATTATCACAGAAAAGCTTATTTTCCACTCGTAGCAATATCTGAACAAAGATAAGGTAAGATTGAGCACTCATGTCAAACGACACGCTCATCACGCTTTACGTTGACATGCTAATGAAAAGTCATGCGTGTAGCTGCGCGGGAAACCGATCAGAACATGAGAGATATTATCTAATATGAGTGGTCGCCGGTCGTTCATATATTACGTAATCAGCCAGGGGGGGGGTATATCCGGCTATTATCCTTACTATATAATAGTAAGTAGTTTGAAGGTGCTTGGCCGGATATCATAACAATGATTTCGGCTCATAAAGCTCGTAAAGGGGGGGGGGGGGGGGGGGGTCAGGCCATGATTACGTAGGTAATATTGCTGTCGGGAGGGGGGTAAAAATTGCTAAAATATTGATTACGTAATATTTGAACGACCCCTAATGGATGATCATGGTCCTCTTCGAAAGATGTGAAGTCGCAAGATTTACGAAAATGAACAGCACCTAAACGGTGCCTCTGGTCCTCTGTGTCTTAACCCATTCCTATATTTTGCCATGAGCAGGAGATAAGATAAGAACAGGGAGACAATTAACCGACTGTGTTTCAATTCTGAGTTGGGTTTCGAAGCCAATTTAACACGTGGGCGTGAATTGCTACTTGAAACGCGAAAGAGAAGAGGGTGTCCCTGGTCCCACTACCCCACTCACAACAAAGATGATAGAAAGACAACTCACGGTATAGTGTGAATAGCTCTGTTAGTAGCGTTGTCTTCAAGAGACTGTCTGTAAACTTTGAGCTGGATCTGATTACCGGATTTGAGGACTTTGTCGTTAACCGAGTTGTGGAACTTATCCTCCACCATCCAACCCACTTCCCCCACCTGAGTAGGACACATATAATGTTTTGCATTGAGACTGAGAGAAGTTGGAGTATCTTCTTTAGAATTAACATCTAAGGACAGGGATTCGAAATATAAGGATCAACTCGACAAATTGGAGATAAGAACGTTGCCTGTTTTAATTGAGCTTCTTGAGTTTATCTTGTATTATGTACTTATCATGACAGAACCGATATCATTTGTGAATTAAAACTCACGTAAGCTTTCCTCCGGGGAGGATACTTGGAACCCTCAGGCTCCCTAGATAAGAACTTCATGCTGGTAGTGCTGCTTGGATTACCAATTGTCTCCCCTATACACTCGTAGTCCGTGACCACGTGGGATCGGTAGTTTCCTATACCGTTATTTCCTGATAGATTATAAAAAACTTTAAGTTAGGGCTGGCTGGTTGTGGCAGCTGGAAATGACATGCAGGTTTCATGATTAGTTTGGACAAAGTTTGCGCAATGTAGTTAGTAGAACAGTGCGTGGTTTGACTTAAATACTACAAATTTGTATGGCCTTGATTACGAATACAATGCACGGTTAAAGCAATGACTCTGATAAAAGTGAACTACTTTTGCACGATCATGTATCACCTGTGTAAATCATCTGCCCTCTGGCCCCACCCACTTCTTCTCCTGGAAGACTACTGAAATGATCAGCGGCTGCCATTTCTCTATCAGCTGTTGTGAGTTAACGGTGTATTTTTAGAAATTACGGATTAATTTTTTGCACGTGAAACATTTTGCCGACTAAGAAAATCTGCCAGGAACCAAGATGGAATGATTTGCTCAACTGGCAACTAACAGCTACGGCTTTCATCAAATTAGGGCTCCAATATATATGACCATCAGACAGCAGACTAGATTGCAAATAATGAATAACTGTGAGTGTGAAAACGTTTGGAGTTGGAGTCACTGGATCGCTGCCACTGCTCGAAGCGATACAGCCAGGTTTGCAACAACAGCGATTTTATTTTGAAGGAAATGGTGAAAAACGTCGGTGTTTTTAACTTAAAAGCTGTAGAAAGTCAATGAAGAAAATGGGGAGATTGGCAACTTCCCTGCAGTAATTTTTCTTTTGCGGTTGTACTATTTCGATCTACGATTTTAGACATCTTCTTTACAAAAACGATATATCGAAAGGATCGTACATTCATTGCAAGTGTAACAATGCAAACAAGTTTTAAGGCCCTGACATAATCTTTTAAGTTAAGAAATCGTAATTTTACTGGCTAATAAGTAAGCATCGCCTCGACAACATCTCCCTCTGTTAGCAACCGTGAGCTCCCGGTTCCTTCAGCTCACAACAGCTTGTGTTAATGCGAACGGTCTTTAAGAGTAAGACTAGAAATTGGGCGATTAATAAAACGACGAATTTGACTGAGAGCGTATAATTTTATGTTGAATACTCCTCTAAAAACTTGTACGGTATAAATTCTATAAAGTAAGAGCTAAATCATTCCTCATGACAGTCTAGCGGGTCTAATGAAGTAATGACATTGCTTGTGATTTGGCCGGTGCATTCTCCAGAAAATGTGCAATGAAACGAGCAAAAAATCGACAAATTTCTCTACAATGGCACTTCAAATGGTGTAGAGAAACTTAATTTAAAATATATCAGTTGTGCACGAAATTTTCGCATGAGCAGTATCTAAGTGTTAAGTAAATTTTATTAAAACATTACGGACTTACGACTCTATAACTATTCGCAAAGCTATTAATGTTTTCAATTTTACCAGAGCATGCTTGCGATAATATGCAATGATGCATCCATGCTGTTCGCTTTAGTCAAATTTCACCTTTTAACATTATTTTCCAAGCTTTAGAGATGCCTGGCATTTTCTCTCAATAAAATATACATATCGAATATCGATTCATTATATACCAAATACCAGCGTCGCGAAATCATGAGCTTTGGCGTGATAAACGCTATTATTTCAATTCGATGGCTGATAAAATGAAAACAAATAATTCATGTTTTTGCAAGAATCAAATAATCTATTTTATATTACAATTGCTTGAACAAGCCGTTCGATCTAAACAGTATAGAAAACGTTAAATAGTTAAATACAAATAAGAAACCGTTGCCTAAACGTTGAATGGTATAAAGACCCTCACTAACTAGCCTCTATATTATACATTCTTTTATCTTATCAGCAACATACTGGAGTTTGCTTGTACAATATCAGAGAAGATTATCTGTCTATTATCATATTATACTCTTGTACTATCAGCATTGTATGTATACTCTGAAAGAGACTAAAACAAGGTATAATATTTGCAGGTAGAATCATAAAGGGGCCCCTAAAGGAAGTTAAAATAAATAATTTACACTTAATTACGTCAATTCGAAGTCACGATTGCAATAAATACTATATATTTTATAGTTTAGTTAAATAATGGATAAGAAATATTTAATTCATAAATATCTTGGCCTCCATTTTAGTTTCGCTTGCTATAATTCAGATAATTAAAGGGCATTAAATAGTTAAATAAAGAAATTTCTCGGCTATAATTTGTTAAAAACATCAAGAACTTAAACATTACCAATTACCAATTAATTCGTCTTTTGTTCAGTGCACTCGTGTCAAAGAAGGCAAAATGCTGTTCTGAAAGTTCGCGTTCATCAAAAGATTGAAAATCTCAATAAAATTCTACTATAATTATAAACCTCTTTCACAGCTTCGTCAACTGGAGCCCACTGGACATATTCATATTGGCTAGAAGTTTCTGTGAGTCTCTAACTATATGATTGTTGGGTTCTTCTGGCCCCTTCAGCATGAAACTGATCAGATTGTCTTGTGGGGTCATGGGTTCGGAGAACAGGCTGTTATCCAGTTTGATCTGAGGCAACATGTTATCACAGTATTCGTTAGGATGAAGGTATGGTCTCCAGATGTCCGCCATGTTGGTGATCTGGTCGGTCGGACAGGGTTGTATCTGTTGGGGTTGGTAGAGGTGTTGTTGGGGTTGTGTGTCTAGTCTTCTTCGTTTGCTGTTTGGTTCTGACGGCGACATGTCGTAGAATGAGGGCTCCAGATCGTCCAATTTGCAGTTCACCTGTAGTTAATGGTGGGTTAGTAATTTGTTTTCGGGGTAGTGAAAGTGTTTTGGTAATAATAAAAGTGCCGGTTAATAGTCTTGTTTAGCGTTGATGAGCAGAATTACGATCATGGTGCAGAGAAAGTTGTCTGTGCCCTCAATTATTTAGAAGTGCAGCTGCAGGAATAGTGAGGCCTGCGCCCTGCAGTCCATAGCCCGACTCTTGTCATTGGGCCAGTGTGTCGGGTCACGTGATCCAATCTATTAGACTGGCCTAAAGTTTTAGTTTCTATTAGCAGCACTAGTCGAGCTAATTATTGTCCACGTTTCAGTTCCTCCCGAAAAAGAGCTGCTCTTAAAAGTTTACTAAGTGTCACCTTCGAAGACAGTTATAATTGTGGGACCGGAATCATTAATATATATACTATATTAATGCTGAAGTTCAAGCTCCATTCTAACCGTGATGATTATTTCAGGGCATAATAGATGAGAAATGAGAAATGAGAATTGAGGTCAACAAGACTGGACAATAAACTAAAGAAGTAGCTTAAACACTAGTAATGAGTAAATCAATTCAAATTTCTGAAACATTTGCAATTAATTTGCTTCAATTTACCTCGCTGAGGGTCGGAATATAGTCACTCTCGAGTTTCTCCGACTTGATCTGAGGGGGTGTCATCGGCATGTGCTGACTCATCACAAATCCTGAAATTTTAAGACATTTAGTGATTGGAAAACTTTATGTTTTAACAGTTTTCTGATCTATCAAATTTGTTAGGTCAAGGATGCTGATAAATGGTTGGAATGTAAAATCAATGCAAGATGATATATTGTGGTCTCTCACATACACTTGCACACTTGGCACAGATTGTAAAAATCTGAAAAGTTGGAAGATTGCAGTTGTACGGTTGGTGTTAACCCAACTGAGTTAGACGGGAGCTTCCTAGTGAGATCACGTGATTTGTCACATGACACTCACCTGACGTCTGCTCGGCACAGAGGAAGTTAACAAGGCTCAGCTCGTGATCAGCTCACATTTTCTACACATTTTTTGCTAAATCTAATAAATCGAACCCAGATTGCAAGTGCATCTTCCTGGACAAGAATTGCAATACAAGTTTCAGGATCCTCTTAACTAATGGTGTTTTCATTTTCATTGCGTCGAAATACTGGACCATAATTAAGCTTTAAAAACAGTTAATCATCGACTTATAAGTTACTTGCATGCTCGTAATTTGCAAACCAATCGTAAAATAAGGTATTTTATTCCTAAGTTGAGCGATTGACATCATGATTCGTGCAAAGACAGCTCTCAAGAGTGACATACTTTAAAGATAGGCATAATAACTATATATATGCTAAATCCCATGAACTGCTCAACATTCTGTAGGTCTACCGTGGTATTCTCTTAAAATAGCATACTGTCTGCACTTAGAGGGCCAGTCTTATGTGAATATGGAGATGTCAATTGATCCAACATTTTTCAGGTACGAATAGGGTACCCAAGTACCACGACTCATAGTGAATGTAGAAATAAAGATGTGGGATATGAAGGCGTTCAGGAAGGTAAATACAATTATTTAGATTTATACATGAAAGTATTTACTAGAATATAAATTACCTGAGTTATTCCAGAAGTTCTGTGGAGATTGGGGGGCTTGGTTGTTGTTGTTGGGGAAGGGTAATGGTTGTTGGTAAAAAGTGTAGGGTGAGAGCTGAGAGCATGCGCTCATCATTTGGTTCTGCTTCAACTGGTCCTCCGGGCTGATTTCTGGGGATAACATCTGGTCCTGAAACAGTGCATTGGTTAGCTTTGGTGTTCAACAGTTCCATTCTTTATAAATTTTAATCTATGGTTGAAGAGTATGTTATACATTGAGGCTTGATTCGAATGAAAGTAGGAAAGTCAAACCTTCACTCGTATTTGTTATAATATTTAAAACTTACCACAGTGTAGCTGGGAGGGCTGTGATAAAGCATGGTGGAGCACTGGAGAGGTTGCTGCTGCTGCTGGGTGGTGTAGATGTTCTGCATTCTGGGCTGGTAGTAGCTGTTCAGATCAATGTTCTCGTCCTTGATGAAGGGGGTCTGTTTGGGAAGCTGTTTGAAGGCTGACAGGTCCTCCTGTACCTTCGGTCTGTTAACCTTGTTCCAGTTCATCTCCTCTTTAGTGGGAGATCCGAATATGGCGCGCATCTTGCTTTCTTTCTTGCTCATGTCCCGTGGTGGTGAGTCCTGTGAAGAGATTTTGGTAAAAGATAAATTAGTTGACTTCAGCTGAACTTTACATCAATATCTGGATGATAAAGTGAGATGGAGTGAGGTGTTATACTCATTTATCCTCATTTTTCACCAGATTACTCAATACTATTGAGATTGGATAAGATACGAATGACATGATAAATCACGTTTGTCTGAGTTAACTCAAGTTATCTCAATATATTGAGTGGTACTGATTAACAATGACTCAACGAAGATATGTGATCAGTTTAACACTTGATTGAGTTCTATCGAGGCATACTGAATACTGATAAGGATGTCGATATTGACATGGCCTTGAGCCTTGAGGCTTGAAGGGATTGATATCATTTTCCTAACTGATCAATATTAAATACTGAATGTGTTTCTACAATCTATTAAATAGTAGACTTTGTTCATTATAATATATCAACGTTTTGTAAGTGAAACGTGGCACTTCATAAAGCTCCCTACAAAACTGGTGTTTTCTCAACATTCATCTACAAATAGTTGTCCGGGACCTTGATTGAGACTTGCGACTCTTCTTTTACACTCACAACGGCTTGCATGGATGTAAGACTTAGTTTTCTGAATTAAAAAGAACTTAAATAAAACCCGCAAAAATAGTGCACAGCTGAGCGGAAAATTTGTTCTATAGAAAAAGGTAGAACTTGACAATATGATAATAATATACAGACATAATATTGTGTCCAAGACTGCCGCTTAAACCATTGCGCCATTTTCTGAATTTTTCTCCGGGTCAGGGAATTTGCTGCACATCATGTATGATTTACAAGGAATGATCTCAGAGTATTAGTAACCTCTCTCTCGAGGAAGGGGGCCGCTGCAGGGCTAAGTTTCACCTCTACTGTTGGACAAGTGGTGTTTGTTTAATTGATGTCAGATCAGGGCTGGATACGGACCTCATGGAACCGAATATTGCCTGTCCAGCCGGATTTCAACCAAGTGTGGATACCTCACAATCTATTAAGATATCGCTTACAAATTAGCCAAACTAAAATCTAGGACAGGCACCCTATTTTGTCGCCTTCAGGGCCTCGTGGCTTGTCCTCTAAAATTCGTGGTAATTATATTAAGATCCGCCATTCAGATTACTAAGAGAAGGCAAACATGCTTGGATATCATGACGGCATAATGACGTACGGTCCGAATCGAGCTAGTTTTTACCTACAAAATATATATATAATGCTATGAATTCTCGAATGAACCCTAAACATCTCGGTTTTAATGCCGTTAAGTGTGTTCCACAGTTCACATAAATTGCTTGATATTATCGAAAGTTCTCGAACAATCTTAGGAATTATGTAATTGTGTAATTGGGTGAGATATTAATTACGTCTGCTGGACTCTATATATGGGGCCTTCCCACAAGATCCCAAAGACCCTGCCACCATGACCGGATATTGTGGTTATGTAGCACTTAACATGTCACCTGACGTGAGCCCTAAAATTGAAGACTGGGCGCGTTGTTTGAGCTGGTTGACAGTTAGCACTGTGCTATATCCCGGCCATTAAACGTGAGCACTGTCGCCCCACTGTGACCAGATAGTCTGCAGGTGACATGTATTCTATCAGGGACTATGTGTGCAGGATGGGTCTAGATAGTGGAGTGGAGCTAGTGGAATCTTAAGTAATGACAAATGGTGGATTGACAAATAGAGTGGAGCCCTAAAAACTGGTAAGTGAAGAAAGGGCCGGTGTTATAGTATGCGCACATATTCTCAGACTTAGCCTCACTCCTCAGGCTCAGGCAACGTTTACAAAAGAAAAAGTAAAATAAAGAATATCGTCATGTGAATACAAGTTAGACTCACCGAAACAGTTTCATACTGGTTGTAAGGCCAGACTCGTCTCTGAAGTGCTCCGGTACCGTGGGTTCCGGCGAACTGCACGATAGCTACGTCCTTGTTAGCACTGTATACTGTCACTTTACAGAGTCCGTAGCAGTGACGGCGTCGACCGGTGCAAGCAGTTCGAGGAGAACAGTTGTATCTGGGCAAATTGTATTAGTGGTGAGATCAGAGATCGCGAAAATAAGGGGGTTTATTTGGAAAATTCGGGCAACTACATTTACTTTTACTTTCGAGCTGTTTAAAACGTAACATGATAACCTCATGGTTTATAGTAATAGTATAATCTAAATTATCACCATCGACTGTATTTGAAAATATCAGTTATTGGAAATTAATAAGCTAATTCTGGTAAACTTACTTCTTGCCAGGACAGTGGAAGATCTCTCTGGCCAGGAAGTGATCCTGACGACGATGGACGACTCCGTCAAGATCGTGACAGCCCAGTCTCCCAGTTAGCGTGGGTCTGGCTCTCTCAGATACCTGTGGAGATGAGGTTAGTAGTTTGTTAACACTTGTTTCAGTCGGTTGTTTCGAAGTTAGTATTGCATGAAGAACGAATAAAAGCGATAAAGTTCTCCTTCAGCTGCAACTTAAAAAATTTATATTTTCATATCCAGTAGTTTAGGGCAGTTTACTAGGCAGGCCACACAGTTTACTAGGTAGGCCACACAGCCGGAACTGGACATCTTATTGCAATGTAGTGTCTGTTTGTTTGCTCAATTACTGGGCAAGTTAATTAAGGTCCGGTAAATGTAACAAGCACAGTTTAATCATGTTAATGGCGTCTCTAGTGTTGCTAAGTCATGTAGTCAGACGGCGAACAGTTTAAGAATGTTGTTTTAATTGACCTGAATATGCTGTATAATTATGTGAAGATCACGTGTCTGAGTTTTATGGCTACACTAGATGAGTTAAAATTTTGGGATCGAGGTTAATAGGCGTTATAGTGGGATCGACTGTATAGTTTAGACGTCGTTGGTATTCAATCAACTGTCAGTCACTATAAATTGTGTCTAATGTATACATCGTTAGCATATAATTAATGTAGTTAGTATTCTAGGGATATCCCGAGTAGACTGATATTGATATTACTAAGAATAATGGGCATCTCAAAGAAATGCCTCTTCAAATACCTCTAAAATAATCTTCGTACCAAATACTAAATGTTAATCATCAACAAGAAGGTTTACTTACAACGACATTGTGGCCGTAGATTTTCTGTTCAAAGTTCCAACTGGGTTGCGAAGCAAAGAAAAGCGGCAGATCTTTAACGGGAACTCGAACACCCTTGCTCCACTTAGGGTTTTCAGCTTTACAAGTTCGACACATAACTAATAAACGAAATGTAAGTCTCAAATTGATACGAAGTGTGGTGGTGGTAACTAGAAATGGGTATTGCCCGCCATAACATTTATAATATACTCTGTCTCCCTCAGATGGTTCTCACGTGATTGGATCACGCGACTCGAGATCCCACGTGACACATTCCAGTGCCTGAGAATTGAGGAGAAGGTATCACGTGATTGGTCACGTGGGAAGGGAATGCTGCGCGCGATATCATGTGAACCGAGAGCTGGTGCTCGTTAACCGATGCTCTACCCAGCTCTTGTGCTTGCTGCATACCACGTGCTGCGTGCCAATTAAGGTCACAGGATCGTTTTTCGGGGTTGTGACGAACTTGAGCATGTAAATGGTATGCGTTAATCGGGTTCTAAGCGGCATTTCAAATTCCAAGCATACAGGTATTTGATAGATGAGATAATGGGAAGAATGTGAAACTACAGAAAGGCAGATTCAATGTACTCTGCAAGTCAACTTATATTGCAGAGGCATGGGTCTGATGTTTATATAACATGGTGGGAGTCTCGAGTAAAATTAAGATATAACAAGTCAATGATAAACCTTGATTATTATATCGAGGGACCACCTACTTCCCTACAAGCACTGTGTGCAGTCTAGAGTAACTGAATATTTATTTACACTACATCCATATTGAGCAACTCGACGTCTAAAACTGAAAGCAATCTTTCGGAAATCATATTTTGCTACACAAATTACAGCCTGGAAATCAAAGTAAGCAACTACTGTTTGACACTGAAACAACAACTGTGTGAGACTGCAGCAACAACTGTCTGCAAAGACTACTTATCAAACTAATCGGACAGATCAGTAGCTCAAACAAGAAATCCGACTCGAGTTGGGATAGGAAGACAAGTCTGAGAGAGTGGAGCTGCGACTGTAGAACTCACGCCGGACACCCTGAGGGTAACTGGTCACTAGGGTGCGTGTGTGAGGAACTGATCGCTTGTTCCTCTGTTTATTTAAGTACATGAAGCTCGCATGTCAGGTCCTTAATTAACCATCAATTAACCCTGGAGCTTGGTTCAGCACCTAATGCAATTACTTTAAAGGATGATGTTAATTGTTAATTAGGCTGGCTATCAGACTTTAGTGGGCATACTGTCAAAATGTCGCCGAATGCGACTTTATAGCAGGGTGTAAAGAGGGACATTTCTGATCAGACGTGTATTGAGAATTGAGCTGACACATTTCCAATTACAAATTTGTTTTGTTGAGGCTTGTTTACAGTCTGTCAAAATAGAGTGAAAAAGGACATGTAAATAGTGAGACATGAGTAATGGGTGAAAACGTCTTTAGTCAATCTCAATTCCCCAATCAAGAGTTGAGCATTCATCACAAGACACAAATGTGACTGTTCGAAAAAAAACCCATTTAAAATAATTGAAATGCGGTAAGTTTACAATATCAAATTACATAATATTGTTCGCCCATCATCAGACCTGGTGACTCATATGACAGACAGCTACACTATCTGCCTAAACCTTAAACCGTGGACTTGGAGGATCATTAAGCATCGTCTGACGGTTCGTCAATCTTTCATCCAATCTGACGTGTTTTGTTTTGACGCAGGTCTCAACCTCCTCCCTCGACATACTGTCCTCATACCTTTCCGCTTTGATCCTCAATTCACAGAGTTTACTTATGGCAGCGTAGCGCAGTGGTTTCCCTTGTAGTTTGGGGTCTTGTTGTATCAATGTCTGGAGTCCGGTCGTGTAGCACGCAGACGTTAACGAATTACCTGCAGGTGGTGGGTCAGAAAAAACCCGTAAAACTTGTATATGAATCGGTACTTGATGTGTGATGATAAGCTGAAATTGTTTTGTTTTGTAATAAATTTTCAACACATTCGATGTACTTACTATCTTACTATGTGAAATTCGTTTGCAACGACACTTACCTGATAACGTTGCTTCCAGAATACCAATCGATGGCTCACTATTTTGATATTGACTATCTTCACCAACTCTGGTTTTATCCTCATCTTTCCGTTCATCTGTAGAGCTTTTCAATTTATCTGGAAGGTTATGAAGCACTCCTTTGCCGTCGATGGAACTTTTTCGAAATGACGGGTGATGACGGGGCAGGTCCCTTACGTCTAAATGCGGATGATAGATATGAGGATTTTGAAACACTGTGTATTATATGTGGTCAAAACTCAATCCAGCTTATCAAATTTCACAAACTTCAAATATATTTTACCTGCAAGGATATGTTGCTGAGCTCTGTCATTCAGTTCTACCATTTCACTGTTTCGTTTATTGCTTAAATCGGCACCCTCGACCGATTCCAACACGTCATCAGGCACACTAGTTCCACCATATCCAATTTCAGGATCAGATATTGGTTCAGGTACACCAATCATACTGAATCCATGGCTATTTGAAAGTGAAATGTCGGATTTTGTTGAAGACCTTCCACTTCTCGGTTCCTCGTCATTTGCGAATTCATCTTGCAATTGTGTACTTCCTAAAAGAATATATTCCATGGATTGTGGCAGTTAGCTATTATCTCAGTAAATGTAAAATCTTTAAACCACCGAACCCCACTTTTTGGTTCAGGAAACAACTATTATTTTTAAACACTGCTTTGGTCGTAAATTTTAAACTTGAAACTTTATTTTATTCCCACCCTTTAATTTCGCTGATATGGTACCAAGGGTTGTATTCTTGCTTCTGATTCGTTGATTAAAACAATACACGAACTCTTCGTATCTTTGTGCTGTCTGAAATACGAACCATATAAAAGTTTTTTCGTATATCATAATGCTGCATGAAATTTGTTCATGAATGGTCAAGAAAAGCCTCACACACTTGTCTGTTGATAAAGTAACCGTCGTTAGAGGTAAGCTAGTTAGATAGTTAGTTGCAGTTCTTTTAAATAACTAAAAACTCGTGAGACCTATGGAATGTGATGTGGCATTGGCAGTTCAATGATCTATTAAAAAAATCTCCGAAAATAATAAATTGGAATTTTCTACCATCTCAGATTTTTATTCTGCGTTACGACATTACAATACTAGGAACATGGGAATATGAAACTGAGAAATAAAATTCTGAAATTTAAATTCTTTACTTGGCAAATATTTATGTTTTAGCTTTAAAAATGAAACTTCTTACATCTAGAAGGGAAAATGTCTCGAGCGAATGGGCTATCAAAGTATAAATCTGATCACTACTGATAGTTTCATTAATCTCCCGCATCTTTGCAATTCTCATGTCAATGGACAAACGAAGGCGAGATATGTATTCATCACACTCACGAAGTATCTCTTCATTGTTGGACTGATCTACTGATATTGACAATGACATTGTAATAGATCGAGGTTTGACTAAGAGGAGTTATACGAAACGTGAAAATCTGTAAAATCTGATATTATATATGTAAAATCTGATATTATATATCCAAAAGAGTCGTCAAAGTTGCTCCTTTATAAATTCACCAAATACTTTTTACCACATTTTAGGATTTTACAGGAGCAATGATATCTTTGATATTATCTTAATCATATTTGAGATAACATTGCTTTGGAACTGCGATTAAAATAAAATTAAAACAATTATTTTTTAATTGCATTCTTGTGAGTATTAATATTACATCAGCACTATAAAATACATCTGAAGATGAAATACCAGTCCTTTCTCAAATATATATAAATAAACTGTTTCCATTCGTTTGAGATGTCTTGTGTCTTTCAACTGGGGTTTCTATCGCGAGTACTTTATGCGCATTCGGGTCGGTTAGCGGAGTAAACCTGAAAAATATCGCCATTAATGGCCAGTTTTGTTGCATTGATTATGTTAACCAGTTTTCTTACGATATTCATTAAATGTTATAAACTTGATTATGATGCTTTGATTAGATTATCAAGAAATGAAAAGACTGCTTTGTATTTGGGGGTTATCGCCCCTATGGAATGATAAAAGATAAAAAATACTTACTGCGCTGACACAGCCGAACTCTTCGACAACTCTATCTCTGATTGCCTTAGCTTCAGCAAGACCAGATGCACTCAGACCAGATCCGACAGCAGCTCCGTATGATTCAAGGGCATCGCTGTAGTTAGCGATAACGTAGTCGTAAGCCTGATAAGTAAATTTTAATTGGAGCAACTTTGGTTTATTGTAAATAAGCCTTCAATCAAGTACCAATACGGTTTAAATTATCCGTAGCATTGATATATTGGAATTGAAATGGAAAATCCTGCGAATCCTTGAGAGAATAGAAATAAAAGCAGGGAAATAGGAAATCTTTGCAATTCACAGTCGAAGAATTTAACTTACCACGATTCCCCTTCGGACAACCTTCTCGATACAGCATGGCAGCTGGTTCCTGGCGAAGTAGGATGCAGCACGGGACTGGCATTCACCGCAGAATTCAGAGGCATCATCACATCCACCACCGTTCATGTGCCCGAAGATACCCTCAAGGAATCTGGCAGTAGAGCTGGTACATCCATCATCACACCATCCCTTGGCGAGAGCTTGAGCTTCTGCAGCAGCAGCAGAGGCATCAGATTTGACACCCTCGGTGAGGTGCTCCTCGATGAAGTCTTGGATATCGTCAGCACTGGAGAATCGGTCAAGAGCCTGAGGATGAAAAATAATTTAGACTATGATATTGTTTAATCATATGGCTTAGCTAAACTATTCACTATTTATTAATGAAACGCTTTGTTGAACATCGTTTGCTATAAATTAACTTGAAATCAGTTAAAAGCAACATAATATTGACATAAAGATGGTGAATTTTATGTATCAGTTACTAACCATGGATGCGAGGTCTCCGAGGAGAGAACCCTTGCTAGATTTTGCGAAAGCTGCAGCTTTGTCTTCAAAGTTCTCCTTGTAGGCAGACTCGGCAGCATCGATGGTATCTTGTACGAAGTCAGCATTTGCTGCCTTGCATGCCTGTAAACGTATAAGCTGTTATTTGATTTGTCAATGCAATAGTATCAATTAATGTAGAATTATTCCAACATGACCTATAAGTCACTAAAACAATTAACTTTCTACTTGATTTTAGAACAGATTACAATATGTTATGTTCCACAAATATAATAAATTTGTGGGATATCGGATATTATAATTAGAAGGAAGTATTAATTGTGTTAAAAGTTACCTCCATAGCGGCGCTGACTTGGAGGAAACATCCACGGGCCTGAGCACAAGCAAGGTTGCCGAGTTCCTCCATGTTGGATACATCAGAGGCCAGTTGTCCGTAGTTGACAACGTCTGAGTCGTAGTGGCTGGCAGCTTGGAGTCCGTAGCAAGTGGCTGAAATATTGTGGTTATAAATAATGTGCAATGAATTCTATGTTTAAGAGATACTGAAAGTAATATTTCTTTCTCATAGAAAGTGATCAGGGATTCAGGGTATACTGTGTATACTGTATAGACTATAGACAGATAGGGGACACTGTTACATTAAAGACTAAAGTGGTCTTAAGCGAGAAAATCACAAGCATTTTTAGAAAGAAACAAAACTTAGAAGTTATGTTATTCAGACCTTGTTTGACGATAGCTTTGCATTTTCCGGAAAGGGCGACAGAATCAAAATCAAATCCAGGGCAGGAGTTTCTAAAATGTATTCAGTTGTTAATGTTGTGCTATCGATCATGTGGAAAGCAAATGTCGATTGATGATATAACTATGTACCATTTGATTGTGAGAAAACCTAAAATTATATATATTGCATGATACACGAAAAATGATTGTATGACTATGGCTTAAATTTAAAACCTAATAAGATGTAATTTTAGTCTTACCCGAAGATAGCTGCGGATCCTACACGAGCAGCAGCAAATGCAGCATTGATATCCCTTTTATTAACTCCCTTGCAGAGATTTCCGAATGCAACGCCAACAATGGCAAGGAAGATGATAGCCCTCATGATGAGATAATGCCTATGTACATGTTAAAAGTTAGATAATTAAAATAAAATGATAGAGTTTCAACATAAGGATAGAGTTCACATTAAAATCCATTCCTGTAAAATCCGTTTGGTTAAATTTGAACCAAACTGACCTAATTTAACTAGCAATCAGTTCTTCTTAAATCGTAAATACAGTTATAAATCTCAATATTATTTAACATCATAATATGCCTATGGGAATGTTATTTGAATAAAACAATAATATTATGAGGTTGCATTCTAGTAAGTAATAATATTACATCAGCACTATAAAATACATCTGAAGATGAAATACCAGTCCTTTCTCAAATATATATAAATAAACTGTTTCCATTCGTTTGAGATGTCTTGAGTCTTTCAACTGGGGTTTCTATCGCGAGTACTTTATGCGCATTCGGGTCGGTTAGCGGAGTAAACCTGAAAAATATCGCCATTAATGGCCAGTTTTGTTGCATTGATTATGTTAACCAGTTTTCTTACGATATTCATTAAATGTTATAAACTTGATTATGATGCTTTGAAAAGATTATCAAGAAATGAAAAGACTGCTTTGTATTTGGGGGTTATCGCCCCTATGGAATGATAAAAGATAAAAAATACTTACTGCGCTGACACAGCCGAACTCTTCGACAACTCTATCTCTGATTGCCTTAGCTTCAGCAAGACCAGATGCACTCAGACCAGATCCGACAGCAGCTCCGTATGATTCAAGGGCATCGCTGTAGTTAGCGATAACGTAGTCGTAAGCCTGATAAGTAAATTTTAATTGGAGCAACTTTGGTTTATTGTAAATAAGCCTTCAATCAAGTACCAATACGGTTTAAATTATCCGTAGCATTGATATATTGGAATTGAAATGGAAAATCCTGCGAATCCTTGAGAGAATAGAAATAAAAGCAGGGAAATAGGAAATCTTTGCAATTCACAGTCGAAGAATTTAACTTACCACGATTCCCCTTCGGACAACCTTCTCGATACAGCATGGCAGCTGGTTCCTGGCGAAGTAGGATGCAGCACGGGACTGGCATTCACCGCAGAATTCAGAGGCATCATCACATCCACCACCGTTCATGTGCCCGAAGATACCCTCAAGGAATCTGGCAGTAGAGCTGGTACATCCATCATCACACCATCCCTTGGCGAGAGCTTGAGCTTCTGCAGCAGCAGCAGAGGCATCAGATTTGACACCCTCGGTGAGGTGCTCCTCGATGAAGTCTTGGATATCGTCAGCACTGGAGAATCGGTCAAGAGCCTGAGGATGAAAAATAATTTAGACTATGATATTGTTTAATCATATGGCTTAGCTAAACTATTCACTATTTATTAATGAAACGCTTTGTTGAACATCGTTTGCTATAAATTAACTTGAAATCAGTTAAAAGCAACATAATATTGACATAAAGATGGTGAATTTTATGTATCAGTTACTAACCATGGATGCGAGGTCTCCGAGGAGAGAACCCTTGCTAGATTTTGCGAAAGCTGCAGCTTTGTCTTCAAAGTTCTCCTTGTAGGCAGACTCGGCAGCATCGATGGTATCTTGTACGAAGTCAGCATTTGCTGCCTTGCATGCCTGTAAACGTATAAGCTGTTATTTGATTTGTCAATGCAATAGTATCAATTTATGTAGAATTATTCCAACATGACCTATAAGTCACTAAAACAATTAACTTTCTACTTGATTTTAGAACAGATTACAATATGTAATGTTCCACAAATATAATAAATTTGTGGGATATCGGATATTATAATTAGAAGGAAGTATTAATTGTGTTAAAAGTTACCTCCATAGCGGCGCTGACTTGGAGGAAACATCCACGGGCCTGAGCACAAGCAAGGTTGCCGAGTTCCTCCATGTTGGATACATCAGAGGCCAGTTGTCCGTAGTTGACAACGTCTGAGTCGTAGTGGCTGGCAGCTTGGAGTCCGTAGCAAGTGGCTGAAATATTGTGGTTACAAATAATGTGCAATGAATTTTATGTTTAAGAGATACTGAAAGTAATATTTCTTTCTCATAGAAAGTGATCAGGGATTCAGGGTATACTGTGTATACTGTATAGACTATAGACAGATAGGGGACACTGTTGTATTAAAGACTAAAGTGGTCTTAAGCGAGAAAATCACAAGAATTTTTAGAAAGAAACAAAACTTAGAAGTTATGTTATTCACACCTTGTTTGACGATAGCTTTGCATTTTCCGGAAAGGGCGACAGAATCAAAATCAAATCCAGGGCAGGAGTTTCTAAAATGTATTCTGTTGTTAGTAATAGTATCGTATCAGTGATTATGTGGATGAAAATGATTCTGATAAGAATTACACGATTGAAACTCATTAAAGCGCGTACACTTAAACGTAAAAAATACATCCATCTACCATTATAAGAACCTAAACATTATTTATATTGCACGATATGAAAAAATAATTAAAAATTGTAAAAGATATCATTTTATTTTTACCCGAAGATAGCTGCGGATCCTACACGAGCAGCAGCAAATGCAGCACTGATATCCCTTTTATTAACTCCCTTGCAGAGATTTCCGAATGCAACGCCAACAATGGCAAGGAAGATGATAGCCCTCATGATAAGATTATACCTATGTACATTGATGGGTTAATTCTCCAAGTTGAAACAAAAAATATGAGTAAAATATCAAAATCTCTCTTCTAAAGTTAAATGACGTAGTACAATCATCAATCATTTATTGCTAATTTCATACATAATATTATAAATCTTTATCTTATTTTAGATTGAATTCCTATGGAACTATGATTTGAATAAAACAATCATATTATGAGTTGCATTCTTGTGAGTAATAATATTACATCAGCACTATAAAAGTCCGTTCTCAAATACCAGTCCGTTCTCAAATATATATAGATAAACTGTTTCCATTCATTTAAGATGTTTTGATTCTTTTAACTGGGGATTCTGTCGCGAATAGTTTATGCACATTCAGGTCGGTTAGCGGAGTAAACCTGAAAATACCGCAATTAATGGACAATTTTTTAAGCATAATGTTACTGAATTTTCTTTAATTATTCATTAAAAGTTATAAACAAACTATGATGCTTTGATACAGATCTAAGAAGATAGTATTGAAAATGTTTTAACACCTCAGAACTGTGTATTACTACAGCTCAACCTGCTCATTCTGACTAATTGGGAATTTAAACTCTTGATACAGATAAGATTATCAAGGAATGAAAAGACTGCTTTACTTTGAGGGTTATAGTCCATAATCCATATGAAATGATAAAAATTATAATACTTACTGCGCTGACACAACCGAATTCTTCGACAACTCTATCTCTGATTGCCTGAGCCTCAGCGAGACCGCTTGCACTCAGACCACCTCCGACAGCAGCTCCGTATGATTCAAGGGCTTCGCTGTAGTTAGCGATAACGTAGTCGTAAGCCTGAATAATCAAATTGTAATAGATTCAACTGTAATTCATTGAACATTAGACGATGGATATCAATCAAAGAGCAATACGGTTTGAAATTATTCCCAATATTGAAGTATTGAAATTGAAGTAAGGTTTTTGTAATTCGCAGTCGAAAAATATTACTCACCACGATTCCCCTCTGGACGACCTTCTCAATACAGCATGGCAATTGGTTCCTGGCGAAGTAGGATGCAGCACGGGACTGGCATTCACCGCAGAATTCGGAGGCATCATCACATCCACCACCGTTCATGTGCCCGAAGATACCCTCGAGGAATCTGGCAGTAGAGCTGGTACATCCATCATCACACCATCCCTTGGCGAGAGCTTGAGCTTCTTCAGCAGCAGCAGAGGCATCAGATTTGACACCCTCGGTGAGGTGCTCCTCAATGAAGTCTTGGATATCGTCAGCACTGGAGAATCGGTCAAGAGCCTGAGGATGAAAAATTATTTAGACTATGATAGTGTATAATCATTTGGCTTAGCTATAATATTCATTATTCATTAATAAAACAATATGATGATCATTATTTGCTTCGAATTAACCTGGAATCAGCTGAAGCAACATAGTAATAACATTAAGATCGTGACAAATTGTATGTATCAACTACTAACCATGGAAGCGAGGTCTCCGAGGAGAGATCCCTTGCTAGATTTGGCGAAAGCTGCAACCTTGTCTTCGAAGTTCTCCTTGTAGGCAGACTCGGCAGCATCGATGGTATCTTGTACGAAGTCAGCATTTGCTGCCTTGCATGCCTGTAAACGTATCAGGTGTTATTTGATTTGTCAATGCAATAGTATCAATTTAATTACAATATGTTCTCGTCCACAAATATAATAAATTTGTGGGATATCTGATATTAGAAGGAAGTATTAATTGTGTTAAAAGTTACCTCCATAGCGGCGCTGACTTGAAGGAAACATCCACGGGCCTGAGCACAAGCAAGGTTGCCGAGTTTCTCCATGTTGGATACATCAGAGGCCAGTTGTCCGTAGTTGACAACGTCTGAGTCGTAGTGGCTGGCAGCTTTGAGTCCGTAGCAAGTGGCTGAAATATTGTAGTTATAAATAATGTACAAAAAATTTCACGTTTGCAGGATAAGGAGATGCTGAAAGTAATAGCTCTTCCCCATACAAAGTGATCATGGTATATAATTGTGGTATATTGTGCAATCACATTGAGGTCACTGTCGCATAAAAATGGTCCAAAGCAAGGAAAATAACAAGTAATTTAAGTGAAAGACTTAAACGTTCTGTAATTAATACCTTGTTTGACGATAGCTTTGCATTCTCCGGAAAGGGCAACAGAATCAAAATCAAATCCAGGGCAGGAGTTTCTGAAATGTATTCAGTTGTTAATCATGTTGTCCTATCGATCATTTGGAATGCAAATGTTGATTGTTGATATAACTATGTACCATTTGATTTCGAGAAAACCTAAAACTATTTCATCAGTGATCATGAGTTTCAATATGATTCTGATAAGAAGCACTGGATTGAACCTTTTACCTTATTGAAATATAAGGTAAATGTAAACCTTAAAGTTAATATATACACCCATCCTTGATTATAAAAAACCCAGAAATTATTTATTTTGCACGATGCACAAAAAATAATTAAAGATTCTAAAAATATTATCTTAATCTTACCCGAAGATAGCTGCGGATCCTACACGAGCAGCAGCAAATGCAGCACTGATATCCCTTTTATTAACTCCCTTGCAGAGATTTCCGAATGCAACGCCAACAATGGCAAGGAAGATGATAGCCCTCATGATGAGATAACGCCTAATATATAATATCGTTGAGAAAATAGTAACGATCAAAATTCGAGGTTAAAATACAAATACTGAGAAGATAAACACGTTGTAACAAATCCAAAGACAGTGGTTATCTAAGCGAATATTTAAAGTCTTATGAAGGCAGCCACCTAAGACAAACGGAACTAAAACCTATCACCCATCTGGAACAGTTAGACAAAGCAATCTAGCAACAGTTTGCAGGGAGACCACCGTCTTATCAGCTGACCACCGTAAACTGGTGGTGCTGAAGAATAATGGGCTACTGGGGGAGAGAGTCCGATATAAATACTGGGTAGCACACGGGGCAACGCGTGGCTAGCCTAGGTCTTGATGTCCGGTGGATAATTGGATAATTTCATATCACAAATATTTCTAATTGAACCGATTCTCATTCACTGAGTATTTGTGCAGGTCTGCAGATAAGTTTGCTGTATGCATGCTGCAAGGACTCTGATAACAATTTGGAAATAAGAGCCTGCAAGGCTATATACGTTGCAAAAAGTCAATTTTCTGATAAGGCAGCAAAGCCATAATTAATATATTTACTATTTCCGGTAGATTAATTTGGATACATGGATAACTCAATAATATGCAGGACTTTTACAAAAACTGAAAATAAATAATAATTTTTATTTGGAAAATACAATATTCCACTCAATGGCGTAATGTTGCCTGTTTGGCTGAAAAAGCGCCTCCTCCCCTTTTGGCGCCCCTTCCTAAAATTGAACAAATTAGATGATTTTCGAGGATACGCCGGTAAAATCTCTAAAAAAGTGTGTTTCTAGAGCAAAACGCGCAGTTTTGCTAGTACCGTAGGTAAGTTGGGGTTCATGGTTTTTGTCCGTTTTTGTCCGTTCGGTACCCTATATTTTCAAAACGGACAAAAATTAGGGCGTACAAAAACGGACAAAAATGGAAATAATATTTAGATGCTTCCTCCTTCTCCTTAGTCCTCCTCCTCATCCTCCTCCTTCCTCCTCATCAGTTCTCCTCCTCAGTCCTCCTCATCCTCCTCCTCCTCATAGTCGTACTTGTCATCCTCGTCCTCCTCATTCTTCATCGTCCTTCTCCTCCTCGTCCTCCTCAGTCCTCGTTCTCCTCATCCTCCTCCTCCTCCTTAGTCCTCTTCCTCAGTCCTCCTCAGTCCTCCTCCTCCTCCTCTCAGTCCTCCTCCTCATCCTCCTCTTAGCCTCCCCCTCCCCCATTCTCCTCCTCCTCCTCATCATCCTCCTCAGTCCTCCTCAGTCATCCTCATCCTGATCCTCCTCCTCCTTCTCAGTCCTCCTCCTCCTGATCCTCCTCAGTCTTGCTCAGTTCTCCTCATTCCTCCTCCTCTTCCTCGTCAGTCCTCCTCGTCAGTCCTCCTCCTCCTCCCTCTCCTCCTCCTCCTCCTCCTCTTCCTCCTCCTCCTCCTCCTCAGTCCTCCTTCTCCTCCTCAGTCTCCCCCCAGTCCTCCTCCTCCTCCCCCTCCTCCTCCTCCTCCTCTTCCTCTTCCTCTTCTTAAGTCCTCCTTCTCATCCTCCTCCTTCCTCCTCATCAGTCCTCCTCATCAGTCCTCCTCCTCATCCTCATCTTCCTCATAATCGCCCTCAGTCTTCATCGTCCTCCTCCTCCTTAGTCCTCCTCCTCCAGCCTCCTCCTCCTCCTCCTTCTCAGTCCTCCTCCTCCTCCACCTCAGTCCTCCTCCTCCTCCTCCTCCTCCTCCTCCTCCTCCTCCTCCTCCTCCTCCTCCTCCTCCTCCTCCTCCTCCTCCTCCTCCTCCTCCTCCTCCTCCTCCTCCTCCTCCTCTTCCTCAGTTCTCCTACTTCTCCTCCTCAGTCCTCGTATGTACAATACCTTCTCAGTTCTTGTATTACATTGAAATTTGTTTGACATCGTAAACATTTAAAAGACTCGACCTTATAAGTCTGAATTGGTCATATTGATATAGTGCAGTAATTGCACTATATCTGTCTGTCTGTCTGTCTGTCTGCGCGCGTGTAATTTCCAAGCGGTTTTAATCAAGAAAACGGTTAGAGTTATGGGACTGGTATAGCGCCGAGAAAATTCTGACGAAGCCAAGTGATAAAGGTTTTTTGAATCGGTCGGTGGTAAGTGGTTTAATTGATGGTTTTGTACCACAAATGTGACATAAAATAGATCACTTTTTCTCCCTCCTCGCTCTCTCTCCCATTACTGCATAGGCAGCGTTGGTACATAAATCATAATTAGGTTAGCCTCGATATTCACTGTCATGTAATACTATAAGCTTATTAGGGGAGGGAGCACTTATTGCGGTCTGTTTTGACTGTAGTGAGAGTTCATCCGACAATATTATGCGTGTTTTCAAATATAATAGGCGGGTTTATACTTTTGCATTTCAACTGCGATAGTGAAGTCCCGGCTGTAGGCACGGGTTACACTAGTAAATTGATAAAACCAACTTAAAACGAATGGTAGACCTCAACATCATATTCTTTGCGATTAACAGCTCAATATCTGTTGTAATGTAAATTCCGTGGCCACTACCAAAATTGAACAAAATCCCAATATTCTAGTTGGAAATATCCTAGGAGCGGACGACCGCGGTACCGATGTAGTAAACTGCTAAACTGGAACACAGATTTACCACAGTATACAGATTCCCACCCATTTAATTACCGAAACCTATAATCCACCATCTTACACCACCCTTGTTAATTTTTCCAGAATTGGAAGCCCTACTTCACGTTGAAGTCCTGTTTGTTATTTGGTTATCCATTTATCTAAATTAACTTACACGTAAGCACGTCTCCGGTTTAGTACATATTATACCGATTATACTTCTTATCAGATAAATTAATTTCCAGCACACGTTATAAGTATGTCGGAACTGTTAGCAGCACAAATATATCGTCAGCAAAATAATTAACAGCCCTGCAAACATCTTCTAGAATTAGAATTTTGGTCTAATGAAATTGTCCAATTACTTTCCCGGAACCATACTTTTTGTCGATGTAATTATCATTTTAAGCAGCTGAAATCGCAGGAGTCCACTCGAAGAAAGAAACAATAATTAAAGATCAACAGTATCAACAACCTCTTTGTCACTGGATATATATATTGATCATAACCTTCCACTTTACAGTCAAATTTGAACTTACTGAATGAGGTTAGAAGATATATTTGTACTGTAGCAAATTTACTTCATATCAAAAATCTAAGAGTGTCGTGTTACCCAGAATCATCGAGATAAAAAGTTAGAACATGATACTGATAGCAAACATCCATCAAAATTACTACTTTAGCGTATAATCACAGTGCTGGCAAGCACGAACGCCGCCATTACACTCACTATACTATTTATCCCCTATACTATCGGACCATACCCCCTTTACTGTTTTTCCAGGCATTAAGACTCATCGAAAGTCTTTCAGCAGGCATATTTTAAGTTCAGAACATTCTAATTCAATGTCAAACATGAAAAGAATAAGAAATAGTTATTTTATGCGCAAAATACGCGCCAGCACTGTTATACGAAATTCGGTAAAAAACCCAAAATCGCCATATTCAGGTGCCTTAAAAACCATGTTAAAATTGAGTTAGAGATCTGAAATTTTGCAGATGTTTCTAGATGTTGACCACACACTGCAACAAAAGTTTCAAGTATCAGAAGTATCGGGAAGCGGGTTTTCTGTAACCCCTGTTTTACAACAGATTCTCGTGAAGTACATCTATCTATATTAATATTATACAGACGCTTTGGTAGTCAATTGTAGCCTACATTTAAGTGTCCGTAGATTCAAAAGCTTTAATAGTTTAAAGATACAGCCATCATGGACAACGGGTCTTGGAGATAATTGTTCAGACTTCAGTTTACACTTTACATTAAATCGAAAAATAATTTAACGTCATCATCACCACTTCTTGACGTCATCAAGTTAGCCGTTTTAAAAACTTGATTTTTGACAAAGTAATAACTTTTCAAATTGATTTTACACCATTAAAAAGTAATTCTATTCAAAATTTGAGGTCTTACAGAAGTTAGACAATTGTTTAAGCATTCTGAAAATCTACCGGAACGTTTTCTTAGTTTGCTCCTTCATAAAGATACTCGCTGTTGAAGTTAGTACTATTTTGAAGAATAATCTTATAAAAACACAAAAGTTGTGATTTAGTATTCTCTGGTGTTGGGCCATCCCTCGGGTTGTGGAGCTCAGTTCTCTTTCCTATAGGTCTATACTCTATATACTTATAGTGCATTAGGCTGGTTTAAAAGTTAGAAACCAATAAGTTGCACATGTGGGGACACGCCCAAATTGATAGAAAATTGCTAAATTCACCGAAAATTGCTATTTTTATCAACTTTGGAGTCCCGTTGTGATGCAAGTTCGTTGAAATCTTTTGAAACTTTGCATGCTTATCAAACTATATATAAAATACCAATATGCAAACATTTACGGTGATTCAATATTGGATGCGCACGAAACGTCCGCTCAAAATTTGCACCTGCGAAATTGTAATAGATTAAGAAGAACTACCCGATTACAGCATGTGATTGATGTAATTAATCGAAACTTATTAGTATTACAATTCGTAAGCCGTGAATGGATGGGAAAAGCGACCGACCGATTTCATTCTCGGTATCATTTTTCATTTACGGACGGTCATTCAAATTAATATCAGTTACTTTTGTTTGGGAAAGAGAGACACTGGCAGCGGTCCACTTCCGTTTTTTAAAGCTTTCTGCTGTGAGCTTCCTCTGACCGAAACCAAACTTCCAGCATCTCAATCGTGTCACATGCCATCTATATTTGACATACTAATTGGTTGCGGTTGAGAAATTCGGTCAAAACTGTAAAATTTCGGTCCTGGAAATTTCATTTTCAAAAAATGGGACAGAGATTGAAACAATATGATTTTTCATTTTTCCTCGGAATCTTGAGTCCCAATACCTCAATTTGGTTTCATACCATCATCAATTAACTGACTAATTGGTTTCTGGGCAAAAAATTCATCCATGTCTGTAAAATTAGTGTTAAAAAATGTCATTTTTGAAAATAAGACAGAATTTCAAAAATACAATCTTTCGTTTTATTTCAATCGTGTCATATGCCTCTTATACCTTAAGAACGACAAATTTAGTCTACCATAAATTTAGTTAAACTTTTGACTAAAATTGTTGTAAAACAAATTTCATGTTCTTTTAGTCTCAAGACTAAATTTTTCGGCGACTAATTTTAAAGCAGACTCTTAAGGTGGTTGACTGACTACTTGGTTGCGGGTGAAATATTCAGTCAAAACTCGAAAACTGTAAAATTTCGGTCCTGGAAATTTCATCTTGAAAACTGAAAATGGGACAGATATTGGGGCAATATGATTTTACAATTTTATTCAGGATTTTGACTTCCAGTGCCTCAATTTGGTTTCATACCATCATCAATTAACTGACTAATTGGTTTCTGGGCAAACAATTCATCCAGTCTGTCAAATTTGTGTTCATGTTTGAAAATGGGACAGACATTTGGAAATATGAATCTTCGTTTTAAAGTGAGCTAAATGTCGAGTTTTCGGGTTAACATAAAACTTTGAAAACATTTTAAAATTCAGGAAGTAATTTCGGATGGTAAAATTTTGAGGTACAGCAGCAATCCGGATCGGAAGTTACTCTCAAAAATACACCTCATGAACAATATTCCTGTCTCCTGAACATCTCTCATGAAAATTAGGAGAATACCTACAAGTTTTCGTTTATTATACTCCCTGCTAACTTATAACTCGTTGATGATCAATTTATTACATCTTACTTTGAATCGAAATTAACTGAGATTTCAACTAATTGTAATGTTGATCAAAATAAAACTACCATCTTATGAAATGCGTTAGGTGAGTAATAATATTACATCAGCACTATAAAATACATCTGAAGATGAAATACCAGTCCGTTATCAAAAATGGTGTTAATTTATTCCACATGTCTTTATGACCAGGGATTTTGTCGAGAAGACTTTATACGCATTCTGGTCTGTTAGCAGAGTAAACCTGAAAAATTATCTCAATTACAAACTAGTTTCATGCTTTTAATAACTGAATGTTCTCACGATATTCATTTTGTATTATGAAATGATTTTAAATTGGAGGTTACAATATGAAAAGGTTGACTTACTTCGCTGACACAGCTGAACTCTTCGACAACTCTATCTCTGATTGCCTCAGCCTCAGCAAGACCACTTACACTTAGACCACCTTTGACAGCAGCTCCATATGATTCAAGGGCATCGCTGTAGTTAGCGATAACGTAGTCGTAAGCCTGAATAAGTTAATCTTAATAGAACTAGAAGCAACAATTATGATTAATTGGAATGAAGCTTCAATACAGTTTGAAATTATCCTAACAGGTAAATATTGGGATTGAAGTACCAAATTTTTCGCTAATTTCGGTCGAAGAATTTTGCTTACCACAATTCCCCTTCGGACAACCTTCTCGATACAACATGGTAGCTGGTTCCTGGCGAAGTAGGATGCAGCACGGGACTGGCATTCACCGCAGAATTCAGAGGCATCATCACATTTACGATTGTTCATGTGCCTGAAGATACCCCTGAGGAAACTGGCAGTATCGCTGGTACATCCATCATCACACCATCCCTTGGCGAGAGCTTGAGCTTCTTCGGCGGCAGCAGAGGCATCAGATTTGACACCCTTGGTGAGGTGCTCCTCAATGAAGTCTTGGATATCGTCAGCACTGGAGAATCGGTCAATAGCCTGAGGGAAGAAATTTTATCAATGATATTGTATAATCATATGGCTTAGCTAATAATATTTACTTTTGTTTAATGAAACGCTATGATCATTTGCTTCAAATTGTAATTGTATGTATCAACTACTAACCATGGATGCGAGGTCTCCGAGGAGAGAACCTTTGCTAGCTTTTGCGAATTTTGCAACTTTGTCTTCAAATCTGTCTTTGTAGGCTATCTCGGCAGCATCGATGGTATCTTGTACGAAGTCAACATTTTCAGCTTCGCATGCCTGTAAAATTATCAGCTGTTATTTGATTTGTCAACGCAAGAGTTTGAATTTATGGCGAATTATGGGAATATGACATATGAGTAATTGAAACAATTAGTTTTCTTCTCTACTCGACTCTAGTGATTTTAGAACAGATTATAATATTATGCTTTGTGCCACGAATATCATAAATTTGTGGGATAGCTGATATTAGAACAAAGTATTTTGTGTTTAAAGTTACCTCCATAGCGGCGCTGACTTGAAGGAAACATCCACGGGCCTGTTCGCAAGCAAGGTTGCCGAGTTTCTCCATGTTGGGTACATCAACAGCCAATTGTTTGTAGCTGACAACATCTGAGTCGTAGTGGCTGGCAGCATTGAGTCCGTAGCAAGTGGCTTAAATATTGTTGCTATTAATAATGTGCAATGAATCCTACGATTACAGGATAAGGAGAGGTCACATTGAGGTCACTGTCACGTAAAAGTGGTCCCTAGCGAGGAAATAATCACAAGCAATTGAGGTAAAAGAAAAAACTTAGAAGTGTTGTTATTCAAACCTTGTCTGACGAGAGATCTGCATTCATCGGAAAAGGCAACAGTATCAAAATCAAATCCAGGGCAGGATTTTCTGAAATGTATTTGGTTGTTAGTAATAATATTGTATAAGTGATTATGTGGATAAATATCATCCAGAACATTATCATTGTATGATTTTCGTTGGAATTGAATAGTTAAGGGGCCATCTACTCAGGATGTCCGGCGAATAGGGAGGGGGGGGGGGGGGTGATTTTGGAATTTCGGACAAATCCGGACAGGGGCCGGGGAGGGGGGTGGTTTCTAAAAATCCGGAAATTTTGGCAGAATTAATGAAAAGTCTCATTTATTTCAACTCTTTGACACTAATTACTCTGTAAGTTTAGATCCCTGTATTTTGAATGAGTACTTAAATGTACTTAAATGTAACTGTGCTAAACTTGTTCGACGTTAAATGTATTATTGTCTATTCTAAGTAACTGCAGATTTTATTAACAATGAATTTGAGTTGGTTTTATTTGTACTCTTAAGAGTAGCTGGAAATCCGGACGTCCGGGGGAGAGGGGTGGTTCTGAAAATTCGGACACATCCGGACAGGGGGAGGGGGGTGGTCTGAAAATCTGCGATTTTGGCGAACGTCCTAAGTAGATGGTCCGTAACACTTAGTTTGCACGCTTAATATTAGTAAAGAAACCCATTGAAGAAAACCTGAAATTATTGCACCTTACACGAAAACATTCTACAAATATTATCTTAGTCTGACCCGAAGATAGCTAGAGATCCTACACGAGCAGTAGCAAATGCAGCATTGATATCATTTTTATCAACTCCCTGGCAGAGATTTCCGAATGCAACGCCAACAATGGCAAGGAAGATGATAGCCCTCATGATGAGATATTGCCTATATATATTTTGAGGGGTTAAGACTTAGTATTCTTATTTAAAATGAAATCTTTGATAAAATGGTAACACTAACAGATTCAACGACTATTTTAATGTAGGCATCAATATACTAATTATATACTTGTCTTATGGTGAAGTACTGTGTGTTCAACGAATCAAACGGCTAATAAAGCCTTGAGAACAAGGCATTTACTGACCACTGTCACAGTCAAATACAGTCGAAACTGCTAAACTGATTTTAGACCGTCGAAAACATCCCTTTAAATACTGAGAGTAAAGCGTGGTAACGCGTGGTAATGTGTAGTTTGCGTAGGATCTGATGCCGGTGAAGTAATTAGATAATTACATGTAACGAAATTTTAAATTTGCTGAATCGAAACAAATTTGTGCAGGTTTGTAATTAAGCTGCATAAATTATGATTACAGCTTGGAAATATTAATAAAGTGCGCTGCTAATGTTTTTTTCTCTGATAAGATAGCATAATCACCATATTACGAGCTTTAACTTAGCGGGTAAACTAATTTTGGTATCTGAACAGCAAACTTATTGTTTTACGTAAAACTGAACTTCCAACTCCAGATAAACATGGTTCTAAAAATAACAACAGTTGACCTGGAGGTTGGGTTGAATTTGAAATGCAACTGTGTCGGTAATAATATGCCTTATGAGCTGCAAACCAAGATGTCTCTGGTTAATATGGCTTGTTATTACTATTAGTATTAGTTAAACAAGATACCTTATCGGACGTTATTTGTCCATTGTTAATAGACTGACCCGGCGCGCGCTACTTTGCAACACTTGCCTCGGGTCATAATATTATTATTTCGAGAAGAAAGCTGCGTGCACTAACTCGAAGAAATTTATACGAGTATCATCAGTACAGTTGATGTTTTCTTTTCGGAATTTTAAGCGAATGTCACCCCAGTTCTGATGCAAAAGTAGCGCAAAAGTTATACTTATATTAGGCTTGTGCGCAAATGATGATCAATAAGTTATCCCGTTCTGAGATGACTGTCCCATGGTCCAGGCAACTGTGCAAGCAATTTACTTAATCATAACTTCGGTAATCAGCACAGTACGATACGGGAGAATAAAATATGGCCGAAATTTAACACTATAATGTTACAATTTCGCCACTTCTCACCTGTTAGTGTGATGAGATTTTGGCGCTGATAAAAATTGTTTGGCTACCAAATGTTGAACAGATAAACCTTAATAGTCCAGGCAAGCATTTTACCGACATGGGTCAAAGTCATTAGATTTATGCAATACATTTTTACAGTTCGGATGAAAAATACTGCTTGAGACCGAATTCGAACCCGAACCTTCTGCACGCGAGGCGAAAATGTTGCCACTGGTTACAATTCTTACAGTTACAATTCTTAGAATAAACCGGGGCGACATTTTTACGCTATCGCTTCCAATTTGCTAAAACACCTCCTCAGTACCATCCGTCAAGCAGACAAGATGTTATTTTACCGGACATTGCGTTCACGGACATAACTTTCAACGGACATTAAAATAAAGGCATAAAAACCATTGGCATTACTGGGCGCGGGCGGTGCTCAGCCTGTTATTCAGCTTCAGTTTGTTTATGAACATAATATTAAAAGCCTGGGTCCAGGTTGGGGTTCCCAGGTAAACAAAACCATTGAAAACCCGGTATTTTTCACCTTTCTGGGCGTTTTTCAAATTCTATATTGATTTTCAATCAATATTTGATACAGTAAGCAAGAAATGCAGTCGTAAAATGTTGACATAATTAAGCCCGACGATAGAAAAAGAAATTGACCGAAATTTAAAGATATTATTTGTATAGTATTGGTACATAGTCACATCCTGGACAATAAGTTCGTAGCGGAATACTTTTAATTCTGGGAAAAATTTCGACGGACTTTGACTTGGACAGACCGTAAACGGACAGAGTTTATTTGAAGGGCTTGCAGAGCCCGTATCCAGGCCGTGGACAAACAACTAACCTCACCTATTCCTGACCAGACTCACTCTGTCAACAATGCAGAAACAACCGTCCACGTTGTCAAACAGAATTTGAAAAGAAAGGCTTCAGCTGGAGATCAATTGACGAGGTACCTTATATTATACTTTCGTCTTGGTAGATTCCAAACACAAGGAAATTTTCCTCTTGATTGGTAATATACTCAATGATGGAAGTATAGTGTATTGGCTATGCCCCGCTTACTAGTTTAGCTCTTTCTAGTCCCCTGCTACACGGCATGTAAACAGGGATTGGCTAGTTAGAGGCGGTCCGTGTAGGCCTTACACTGTGCTTTCAGCAATACTCATAAGTATTTCCGTGGCTGTGGTTGCAATGCGCCTAGTCTACTGGAATGATTCTTCGGAATTTCGCTGGATTGTACAACTTTCGTCTTGGTAGATTCCAAACACAAGGAAATTTTCCTCTTGATTGGTAATATACTCAATGATGGAAGTATAGTGTATTGGCTATGCCCCGCTTACTAGTTTAGCTCTTTCTAGTCCCCTGCTACACGGCATGTAAACAGGGATTGGCTAGTTAGAGGCGGTCCGTGTAGGCCTTACACTGTGCTTTCAGCAATACTCATATATATGAAACACTGAAACAGTTGGTGGTATGGGTTATAAATCCAGAGCAAAATTTGGTTGTCAGCTATCTGATATATATATAACAGAGAAAAGACATCTTGTTCAGCTTCGCTCCCCACATGTGGAGTCAACACGAGGCCGCCCAGATGGATTTAACTCAATGCTTTCAGCTGTTCATTGTTCAAAGCCGTGTTGACTAAAAGCAGAACAGGCCCTTACAGACTTGAAAATACCAAGAGAGATGTATGATGACATCCTAAGCCTAAATCGATTCGCTACCATCAGCAGCTTCAGAGAATTGTAGACAATTAGGACAATTACAACTACACCAAAACCATGGAATTCCTGAAAGCTATTGGTCATTTGAATATGCTTTAGATTTGATTTTATTTTTATGGTATTTTAATATTAAATTATTGTATGTAACTATTACTTTAATCAATTACATTTACATAATTGTTGAATTTATCGATATGTAATGAAAATATTCCAACTAACAGATAATATCTCTTGTTGGAAATGTGTCGTATTCAGATCGGATTACAATCTCGGACAACAGTCGTTCTTATAGTTATATCGATCACCTGATTCGTACAATAGTCGTGTTACCGAATGGCACTGGCAGTGTTATTTCGTATCGGATAAATGGTCAGTGATACATAATACATTATTTTCGCAAAATGGCGGATGGAAAAAACAATAAATCAACTTTTCAGTTGGCTGAGCTCATTTTTGAGGGCATCAAAAACTGCGCCAGAATTCCAAGATCTTTGTCTTACGTCGTGACCCTCATCGTCATTTCATTTAGTATCGGGGCGAAATCCACGATACAGCCGTGCACTCGTGCGCGGTGGGCCTACAACGTGAAGCAACAAGGTCTTACAAGGAAAATGCCCACTTTTTGACCTTAAAAGGTTATAAAAACACAGCCTTTTAAGATACGATATGCAGATTGTAGGATGTAGATGCATGTGAAACAACACGAGGAAAAATGTCGTGTACAATTTTAGCTCGACATCACAAGAAATGGTTGAGTTATAGCCTTCAATCAAAAAATCATTTTTCACTATAATCTATAATTTGTTTATTTTATTCTGGTTAAATCTCACTTTCGATTTAGATTTAAATTTAATTTGAGCAGATTTCTTGCAGTCCTATTCTATTATATAAATAAAACAATCTTTTTCGGAATTGCAGTAAGAGGAGTAATATTACATCATCATTATCAAATACATCTGAAGATGAAAAAATAGTCCGTTGCCAAATATGAATGGTGAACATTCGTTCCAAATTTCCTTTCAGAGAAGAGTTATGCGCATTCTGGTCTGTTTTCAGAGTAAACCTGGAAAATACAGCAGTTATTGAGAAGTTCTTCTAGTATTTTTGATGATTTAATGAATTTTATTTTATTATTTACTAAAGTAGAGAGCATTTAAACTTAGGCCGTCGACACTTTTGTCAGAAATTTGCTGATAAAGTTATCAAGACTGGCTTACCGCGCTGACACAGCCAAACTCTTCGACAACTCTATCTTTGATTGCCTTAGCTTCAGCAAGAGCAGATGCACTCAAACCAGATCCGACAGCAGCTCCGTAGGCTTCAAGGTCATCGCTGTAGTTAGCGATAACGTAGTCGTAAGCCTGAATAAGAAAGTTGTAATTGCACTGGAAAGTAGCCTGGAAAATAACCTGTAATACACTGGAAAGAGGCCTTCAATAAAGTTCTAATATACGGTTTGAACCCTAGAATTTATAAATTTGAATATAAATAAGAAATCCTTGCAATTTACGATTGAAGAGTTTTATTTACCTCGATTCCCTTTCGAACAACTTTCTCGACACAGCATGGTAGCTGGTTCCTGGCGAAGTAGGATGCAGCGCGGGACTGGCATTCACCGCAGAATACAGAGGCATCATTACATCCACCACCGTTCATGTGCCCGAAGATACCCTCGAGGAATCTGGCAGTAGTGCTGGTACATCCACTATCGCACCATCCCTGAGCGAGAATTCCGGCTTGCTTAGCGGCTGCTGAGGCATCAGATTTGCGTCCCTCGGTAAGTTGCTCCTCAATGAACGTTCTGATATCGTCAGCACTGGAGAACTTGTTCATTGCCTGAAGATGAACAGTGTTTAACGCTATGAAAGTGCTCATGACTCAGACTGTAAGACTGAATTAATGATAATTACTATTAATAATTGGACCTAAGGAAATATATCCTGACAATTTTCTGTTATAAACTATTTATATAATCTCCAATGTAGGGGATGCGCAGAAACAGTTTTTCTAAATAGGATCATTACTTTGTTTTATTCCTCTTTTACATTGATGATAATCGGAGAAGATTTTTCCTTACTTACCATGGTTGCAATGTCTCCGAGAAGAGAACCCTGGTTGCCTGAGGCGAAATCTTTAGCTTGGGATTCGAAGTCTCTTTTGTAGACGGCTTCAGCAGCAGCTATGGTCTGGTCCAAGAAAGATTCGTTTGCATCCGAACATGCCTGTTAAAGTATCAGCTGCTGTTAAACGTGTCAACACATCAGTTTGCATTAAGGTGGAATTATTCGAAATTTGAACTGACCATTATCTTTTCTCAACTATAAGAGTGACAATAACTCAAGTCATAGTTTAACTTGTATCAGTAACAAGTCTTACCTGGATAGCGGACTTGACTTGTCGGAAACATTTAGGGGCATCAGAGCAAGCAAGGTTGCCAATTTCTTCCATGTTGGATACATCAGAAGCCAGCTGTCCGTAGCTGACAACGTCTGAGTCGTAGTGGCTGGCAGCTTTGATTCCGTAGCAAGTGGCTGAAATATTGTGGATATAATTAATGTTTAACAGATTTCACGTTTGCAGGATAAGCAGATGCTGAAAGTAATAGCTCTTTCCCATACATAGTGATCATAATATATAATAATGTGCAATGAATCCTACGTTTACAGGATAAGGAGAGGTCACATTGAGGTCACTGTCGCGTAAAAGTGGTCCCAAGCGAGGAAATAATCACAAGCAATTTAGTTAAAAGAAAAAACTTGAAAGTTTTGTTATTCACACCTTGTTTGACGAGAGATCTGCATGCTCCGGAAAGGGCAACAGAATCAAAATCAAATCCAGGGCAGGAGTTTCTGAAATGTATTCAGTTGTTAGTATTGTATCAGTGATTATGTGGGTAAATATCATCCACATGCGGATGAAACTGCAGTTGACTTTTTAAATACAACTGTATACCATTTAAGCGATCCCAATTTCATGATATTGCATGAAAAGGATTGAAATTACATTTTTGCCTACCCGAAGATAACAAGAGCTCCCAAACGAGCTGCAGAATGTGCAGCCTTGATATCCCCTTTATCAACTCCCTTGCATTGATTTCCGAAAACAACGCCAACAATAGCAAGGAAGATTATAGCCCTCATGATGAGATAATGCCTATGTAGATTTTAGAGTTTATGGTACAAATGTCTTCCCTCAAAGTAAAAAGTTTAAATTTAGTAAAATAAGAAAAAATATGTTATTTTTATGAACAGTCCTGGAGTTAATTTGAGATAAGTGAGAAAAGACAACGGAAAACTTTGTGAAGAAGTTGTGAAGTTGACCTATTATATAGTCTCTGGAAGCCAAGATAACGCTTTGACTAATTAGGATCTGGTACCCGTTATCCGGAAGATAATTAATTAGATATCATCTCTAATTCGTTTTACACACTTCAGAGTTGAGACCCTTGTTGACTTTGTAGAACCTTAATTCAATTACCTGATTCAACGCTGATAAGGAAATGTGCAAATTTGTTTTTTGTCGCCTTCAAACCATCTGCAAAGCTGCAAACAGTTTGATGGTTTCATCGACACCTCATTTCCAAACCAATTACCGAATACCAGAGAAGATTAAATTGCAGTTAAAACACTTTCCGCTCATATGTAGATTTGTGGCCATTGTGGTTTTCCACAATGCAGTATTGAGGATAGGATGCTATTCTAGCAATTTTGATTTCTTTACATATTCAGATGCGAGGTTGAATTCAAGGAAATTGGCAGGTCATCAGTCATGCTATCTGACCCGGATGAAAAAAGCAAGGGTTCCGGATTAACAGAGATTATTTCTGCTAACGCACCGGAAGTAGTAGGGGTTCCCGTTTGGGTATGAAATAAACTGTCACTGTATGAAATAAACTGTCAAGTAGTTAACTAGTTGTCCAACCAGCTTTGTAATCTATCCTCCCTAGACAGATACAGATTTTTGTGCTCTATTTGGGCGCTAGTGGTGCACTATGAATGTGTTAGGGTACAAATTTGGGACATCGATTTTTCATACGCCCAAAATTTACTATTTATAGTATAATTTACTATTTACTATTCATTTACTATTTATAGTAAATAAATTTACTTTAGTACTATTATAGTATATAAACAAGCCGAAACTAACATTTTCATTTCCACAAATAAAGAACAATTTAATTAAAAGCTTGTTTTGTTGGGCTACATAAGGGTAAAACTGTAGAGAAATGATGCTATTGTGATATTCTAATCCTTGTGTACTCTAATTTTTTCCAAGGCTTGAACCTTTTACGCTATTTTAATGGACAAATATTAAGATGATAATTTAACAGACTGTGCGAATGACTCTTTCATTTTAATTGATTTATTCTAAGTTCTAACCCACTTAAGAACCATGCCTTCTTATCGGGGAAATATACTCAAGACTGTTGGATCGGCGTGCTCCCCTCTGATTACTGAATTATGTATTTAAGTGTTATCGGGCGGGGGTCATTCAGGAACTCACGCTTCCTTGACGCCAGTAATATAATTAATAATTATCAATATGTGTTGATTGAGTCAGAAACATGAAGTTTCTTGGTTGGAACATTATTAATAAGCCGCATGTGCGACATCCGTGGATTATTTTTCAAGATTACTGATTTTCACGTTTCTGTCACAAGAAAAGGCCAAAACATATTGTTTACCATGTCGCACAAACGTGATCATAATTTTATTTGATAGGCATCTGAACCACGGGTATTGTGAATAAGTTAAAGATATTTTTAGTCAAAAGTTTCTGAAATAATACAATTCCATTAATATCTTATTACTATAACAAATAGAATCTGGAATTATTCTAAATATCACTCTTTACTCATCAGACAGCAAATCTATAAGTTCTTGTTGAGCAAATTTAATTAGATTGAAAATTTCTGCCCTCTACAAACTCACTTTTTTCATTTTATCTACAAAGAAAAATTAAACTTAAGCTTGGGAAATGACGTTTCCTTTAACATTTAAACAAGAAAACAGTAGTGCAGGATTGAAATAATAAGGCCTGGTTTTGCAATATTACTCTTCGTATACAAGCGAGACAAAAGTTACAACAATTCATTCAGCAATAGATCACTAACTCTCACTCCTCATAAAACCTTTCTCAGCTACTCAAACTTAAAGAGAGTGTCGCCAGCGTTTCTGGGAGAGAAATAAAGCGACCTATCACTCTGCGCAAGCCTGTTGATGGAGTTGAGAAGAAGTCCCAGTTGCTCAACTTCGTCCATCCACTGGGGATCCCTCACCCGCATAGTGAACATGTTCCTCTCATCAGATTCCAACGGTATTACTATTATTCCTGGAGGACATACCGATTGGATATAATTCATGTTTGTTTAAACGACTAGGATTGAATCTTGATTAATTTAAATTCAACTTAGGTATAGTGTGCTAATTCACACATTTTACATATCAAAACTTGTTGATCAATTATTCTTAACGTGTTAAGAAGTTAATTGTAACAGTACAATATACATTATACATAGCACAATTACATGATATACATACCTAAAACATCGGCACATTCTTCAACGAATTCTTCCTTTGAAAAATACATCGGAATAGCGTGGACTATGAAATCTAGCTCACAGGTGAACATTGTACCAAACTTTGTTGGATCAACTGAAAACATTAATTGTCAGCAGAAAAAAATAATAATTACTGAAGAACTAGAATATTGAATTACTGCAGAATATTGAATAGTGAACAATCGAAAAATAGAAATTGTGCATCGTTTTCTTAATTTTCTATTGCATTACATTTGTTAGTAGGTTCAAATTAAACTTCAACAATAATTAACCTGAAATGTATCCATATTTGGGATCCTTCCAAAATCCACCCAACTGCTTTCGCTTCAAGTGTTTATGAAAGTTGTTGAGCGACTTGAAGAACGTGTGAAAAGCATTCACGGAAGATCCATGGTGAACGGTCCATTCCACCTTCAGATGCTCGTATTGGTTCATGACAATTTGAAATTTGTTGTCAACTCCATTTGCTACCACCCGACCTTGTGGCCACCATCTGAAAAATTAAACCTGGATTCATTCAGTCATTCTTGGTTCAAAATCAGATTATGTGGTTTTTTCTCGAAAAGTTACAAATCAGATGATTTTTCCGGAAAACTTGTATTTCGAAACCATTATCAGATAGGTTATCTCTTCAGGGTTTAATTACATTTTGTACGTGTGGCCTCCCGGGACTCGGGTGATCTTTTACAACAACTGACCTATCATCATGATGTAATGATCAAAATAAGCTGATAATATCTCGATGATACCCGAGGCTGGTACTAAATAATTTTATTCTTTCAATCAGCCCAGTCCCAAATTCAAAATCATGCTAGATGCTGTTACCTGGCTACGCCAGCCGATTTCGAGTAAGGATCTTCAGGCTTTCCCACTATTCCACGGTCAGTCAGATCTTTCAACTTCTTGGGTTTAACTTCATCCAGCTTAAAGGTATTGCTCTCCTTAATCTCTAGCATCCCTTCAAAACTTTTGCAGGCTGTTACCAGGACTGCAAAATATAATTTATCGGTACCGCGATAAGGATTGCCACGTTAAGAAAACGTCTGTACATATTAATTCGATTTAAAGCCACTGAGATTAGTGAACTTCCCAATCTGTGAAAATTATAATAAGATTGGTGCATGGATTTTTCGGGAAAAAGATAACTCCGATATTTTAATAATTTAATTTGTCAAATAAATTCGGTTAACAACAAAATGTTTAAAATCGGCTCTCATATGCCCAATATTTAATAAGAAATGACGGTGTATTTTTTATCTTGCAAATTATCTTAATCTACTTTCTTACTTTACTTAAATAAAGTCTAAAATTGCATAATGACATTGAGTGCAAAGTTTTTGCCCATTTTAAATTCTACAAAATACACGCTACGAAACTTACCGTCCCTTATTTCTAATAATTGTTCCTCTGAGATGATGCCCGGAAGAAGTGGCAATCCTATAATGTTTCGCTCAGCCTGTTTGAAACAAGTCATTATCATTTCAGTCAACCATAACTCACAACCTATTTTAATAGCGGTGGACACTGAAATGTTTTCTTCACAATTTCACGAGGCATCAAAGAACCTGGGTTCACGACATCTGTTACGCCCTTACCTTTAAATACAATCGTTTTATTGCAGTCACATCCTCTACATTGGGTAAATGGTTAGCGTTGAAATTAAAGAGTCTACTTTCAGGAACAGGAGGGGCTGGCTCCTCCTCATCCTCAATCTGATCCGCGTTCTTCTCTCCCTCCTCCTCTTCCTTCTTCTCCTCCGTGTAGGCATCAGTGTAACAAACTGTCGGTGGAAGTGTTTTAAATCTAATGTAGATTTCTACAAACATTAACAACTACAAGGCAGTCTTTGCACTGTAAAACCCTCCAATTATTGCGGGAGGTATTATTGTACGGGACGGCGGTGAAGAAACTTCTGACAGGACATTCGAATTTCTATTAAGTGGAATTATTACGAATGATTGTTGATCTATATTTCGGATTTAGAAAGCTGAAGGACTACTTCTGGTTATTCTGGAGGGCAAGACGGCTCCATGTTTCTTCATTACTTCACTGTATGACGTACGTGCTTGGTGAGAAACAAAATTCATGACTGGAAGATAATTGATTATCCGCTTAGATAATACGCGGGCATTCGAGTCTATCCAAACTAGATAATTGATCGGAATTTGAGTGGGTGATATCTTATCTCTGCTTACATCTCCTAAATATTTCAGTATCCAGTCACGTACCATATTCCCTTGACGTAAGAACAAACATTCTAGAAGCAAAGTTACAACTTGTAACAATATGTTTGGTGGTTTTCACTTTTCAGGCTAGATTGATGTCATTTGAGATAAAATGAACTCGTGCAGAACCGTACAACTGCACTGTATTAAGTAAGTGAAGTTGCACTGGGGTAAATACTGGATTTTGTCCGTGAATATAATTATATCCTTGTAGATATGAAAGTCTGAAGAGAATATGTTTAGGCTGGGAATTTTTGTCTGCTAGGGTTTCTACGACGTTGGAGAACTTTATTCTTAAGGAGAGAGAGGGACCGCCTACCGGCTTCCAGTACCAACCACTAAAGTAACCGGTAAAAATGTCCCACGTCTAAAGTAACCGACTACCAGTACCAACCACTAAAGTAACCGGTAAAAATGTGCCACGTCTAAAGTAACCGACTACCAGTACCAACCACTAAAGTAACCGGTAAAAATGTGTCACGTCTAAAGTAACCGACTACCAGTACCAACCACTAAAGTAACAGGCTACCAGTACCGTCTTTCCCGACAATCAGGTATCATTAGCGCTGCGAAAACTCTGAGTTTCCGGCAGTTTTTACTGACGTGTGAGAAGACAGAATGTGTGACAGGAAAGCTTCAGTATAATCTGGGAATATACGCGACTACTCGACTGTCAGTGCTCAGGATTTCTCTCGTGTCTGTTGAGTGTTGTTTGACGATTCCACGCCTACAGGTCTCCCCTGGTGCACCCACGCACAGGTCGTCACGTGACAGCTGCGGATCTGGTCATCATTCTGTGTGCTTACACCAGGTGTCCAACACGCTAAATTTAGAGAAGGCTAGGCTGAGTAAAGCAGACTTTTCCGATCGGAAAGACTCCGAAAACTCGTCTGGAATTCTCGATGTTAATAAAGCTGGGCTCAAGTGTTCGGATATTGATTCAAAGCCATTTTTGAATTTTTGCTCGATTTTGCCGTTATTTAATCAGACTCAAAAACGATTTTATATAATGTGGTGTCGGTGTACCGCTGTGTGGGTTTCTAGCTTCTAATTTCCAAGGTGAGCTTAAGCTTTCCCCTTATTGGCGCTATACTATAACAATTCACTCGTCGCTCGAAACCATTACTTTGAAAATATTACACAAAAACGGCAAGAATGATATCATTCTGCTTTCAATTAGCACATAAGGTTGGGGAGGGATTCCATTCCTTCTAGTCGAATAGAGAGCCCAAACAAATGATATTCACACGTCTGCTTAACACGCGACAAACAGAATACTCACAATCATACAGCTCCTTATACATCTGGAAAGTATCCTGGTCCCCAACAACTATGCCAGGTTTCTTCTCTTCCTTCTCCAGGTGGAATGCGGGGTTAATGGCCCGGAAGAAGTTGAACTCGTCGAACCCTTTAAACTTGTTCATCTCCAACTCCCAATATCGCTCGTTTATTATCTTCCACACTGGAGTAAGGTTCATGTTATGTACAAGCTCGACTTCTAATTTTTGAACATTGAACATGGCAAATAAAATTACTTCGTTTGTGTTTATTGGTCGAACAACTGGTCAAAAATATGAATACTGGATCGCCAAAGTTCAATAAATGATGCAGTTTAGGCGTGTTTTATGTTTTACGTCTTAATGTCTACCAGGTGATTTAAAGTTAACAAAGGCGACGGTTTACTTTAACTCCAGCCATCAATCGTTCGACCGATGGGCGTACATCCAGGAACGACAGTGTACTTGCTACAGAAACTGCATTACTAATTATATTTTACACTGCAATTAAACTCGAAGTTATGGCAGTGAAACGACACAAAACTCAACGGAAACATCCCACAAGGAAATATTTAAAAAATTTCGCCAGTATAAATGTCATTTTTGCACTAGACATTCGGCTCGGTAGTCAGCAGCTGGTAGTAGAAGTGCTTGGTAACGCAGTGTGATCCGGAGCACACTGCGGTGCGAAAGCATTACCGGCTGATGACTACGAGGAGTCTGGAAAAGGTATCCATCAGGAGAGGATTCTCTCTGCTATTATTTGGTTTATTTGGTTTCAACATTGCAAATAACTTTATCGCTTTTTAAAACTCATATACTAAATTTTTGCCGTCTAGCCGAAGGTTGAAGTAATATTTTAAATTGACTGAAGAATTTTGCCACTGATGAATGGTCAAAATAATAGTATTGGAGAAATGTTGGATGATATTTTAGTTGTTCAATTGTCATCATCCAACTCTTCATGATTTCTTTTAAAACACAATGCTTTATTCTCCTCAGTTCTCTACATAATCTTGGAACACAGGAAACAATTTCACAGACAAAAAAGGTTATTACTCGAAGCTACTCCCGGAATTCACAAATTTAAATTCTCATGGATGTCCAGCATTAAACCGTCCGCAATTCTTTTCACCTGTAGCATTGTTCTGTGCGACCTGGTCTTTTGGCAGGTCAGCGTCTTTAACTATCGTCACATGCATCAAGTTGTTGATGTCATTTTCCTTTCCGGCTGAATTCCCCATCTTACTCTATACTAACCAACAACAACGTAAACACACAAACCAAATAAGATGTGTAAGCGCATTTCAACCTCAGATCTACAATTTACATGCGCATGACTAGTAATTGTTAATGAATTGCTGATAATAATTGCATAATCGTAAGAGATACTGTACGTAGGCTTGTTCTTGGTGTGTAGATCTGGAAACAAGTGAGGAGGTGAATAAAACTTGTTTTGACACGTGACAGCCTCAATGCTGAAAGCAGATTGGTTAATCGCTGCTCTGCGAGAAGCAAAATATGGTTTACATACCCACCAATAGCTAGATCTGTATTCCATATTGGTATAAAACCTGACGTGAGAGCTGATCAGTCATTTATTAATCATAAATCTTCCAAAACTTATCTCAAAATAAATCCTCCTTCCCGCTGCTAGACACAAATTTCAAAATAATGAAGAGAACGGAGTAACAATTTAACCCAATATCTTTTAAGTTGTCAACAACGTCTGGAAGCTGCTTAAAGTGAGAATTTGTAACTTTCCTTTTCTTCTCTACAAACCTATCGGCACACTGCATGGCCTTAATCTGTAGCCTTGAATTAGTTGACTTATCTCTTGCCTGTTTATACGTCTTGAACAGTTTATCACCTCTTTTAGTCTCATTAATAAAGCGGCTAACTGCATGCTTAAATTCCACTTCTCAGCTCATGATCGGCTTAGCTGTGATAAACAAACCAATTTTCTAAGTCTTGTGACCGCTTTACAGTTTTTAGGCACGCTGTCACCTTCCGCACGACTTCAGACAAGCACGTATAATTCTAAAAGTTACGAATTGCGAAATCTGGAACGGAATTTATAACTTCATTCTATAATACTAGTAGCTCACTCGTTGATTAACAAAATGGAAATAGATAAGAAATCGTTCAGAGTAATCACTTTGTTCTACGAGTAATTACTTTGAGTAATTACTGTTAGCAATACTGTGATAAGCTGTAATAATGCACACGTTCGAACTCATACTTTGGACGAATCTCAGTAGTAACTCCAGATAAGATACATAATTATAATTTATGAAAGATTTGGTTTGGCATTCGTTTCGATAAATTCATTATTCATTGGTAATAATTTCTGTCCGCCTGCAAAATCGAGTAGAATATTCATCATAGTCGGCTTTTAAATTGTTCGGACGCCATGAACCATAGACGTTGTGACTCTGATTAAGCTGAATAGGCTCTATACATTCATGAGGTTAAGAACTTGAGATTCGAGCCCAATTTTGATCGTTTATTACAATATTCAGACCAAGTCAGCCCTACCCGATTCTATTGCGCCGCTTACTTTTTCAACCAAGCCATCGGTAAATGTCTAATGTCTATGTAGTATCTACTTCAAACCACTTGATAATGCGGTAAATATAATGGAACTCGAGCAAAAGATCTGAGAAATTATTTCTATGTAGTATACAGGCCATGCAGTCTGGTAAGTTCTAAAATTTGTTAATCTTTCCGGTCTTTTGCGTGGTCCACGGTACGTTGTTTTCTTTAATTATTTAATCAGTGATTTAAGTAACAGAATGTCATATGACCGATCAACCCATTAAATGCTCAGAGCCTAAACGAATTACATTCTTACATATCACTTCTAAATGAAAAGCTATAAATATTATATAGCTCTACTATAGATAAGCTCATACAGCTGACATATTAACTTTAAGGAGTTTGCTTCTGTGTGGAAGGCACCTTTTGCCGCACGACAAAACTTAATTGAAGCTTGTAACTGTTGATCGTTGCGAGAAGTTTTAGTTATATAGCACGGCCGCGAAAATTTGATCTTTAAACCTATATTTCGAGGCTAGTTTAATTCGATCATATTTTCGAGCTGTTATCGGCAAGTTTTCGGGCTGAATTCGGTATACCTATATTTTTGAGTCAGCCTTATTCACGAGTTGCCTATATTTGTAGTACCTACTATCTGACGAGGCCAGCTTCAATTCTATATTCTATAACCACAGAAAAGCTTTTTAACGAGCTATAATGCTTCAATATTAAGCGAGAGCTGTTACTTAATGCTAAAAAGTGCGTATGCAGATTGGAGCTGCGCCCCACTTGTTTGCTTGGTACTCAGCCCCTAGCTAGCATGCGGATATAACACAGTCCAAGTTTACCAACAGCGGTTAATTACTGGTAGTTTGAAGGCGAGCTTTTTTCTCTCCAGTTTTTTGATAAGTTGTTCCCTGTCTTTAACACTCGATGGACATGGAAGGATGGAGCTGCTATCAGTTTGATAATCGCAGCTGTTTCTTTCAGCCCTTTATTTTTTGCTCGTTTGGTAATTATCTTGGCTCGTTTTCGCCGACGACGTATTTGAAAATTATTTCATCCTGCAATTGTATATGATAAGAAAGGTCGGATATTATTAGATGAAATGACCCCGGGACATTTTCACTGATAACAAGCTGACCTAATATATATGCTATTTAAGAATTGGTGATCTTTTCCCTTCGGTAGAAAAATAAGGAACAGCATACGTCAGAAAGCAAACACAAAACCCAAAACTTTTCTTTGGTTTTTTCAGTAATAAGTAAAGGAATCGCGATAGGATTCTTTTGTCAAAGTACGAACATAGGAATTCATAAGAAACCCTCTAAGCCTGAGGAACAGTGACGAATAAATCATAAATTAGAACACTAACATTTTCGATCTAACCACGAAAGTAAATTTTTCCGCACTTGCACATCCCAAAACCTCGATTTTGATTGCTTTCTTCAACAGGTAGCGGTGAATTGTGCCCAGGTTGCCACCTGTAGCTCTGAACGCTGGACGACGTTTTTGACGGTGGTGGTGGAGGCGAGAGTGAAGGTCCTGAAACTGACGATCCCCAAAAGAAAGGCAAGAAGAAGAAGAGAGGGGGTCGCGGAAGGTCAGCTAGAGTAAGTAACTGTTGCTTTGTAAGTTATAGTTAATGTTGGCTTTATGTCCCCGTCATTTAATTTGAATAATTCAACCTGTCCCACCGCTATAAGTATAGTATCCGATGTGTTATTCTGAGTTTGTCATTTATGTAGTAAGGGATCAATCTGTATGTAGGTGGCATTTTATGTAGCCATTGTCTTGTGTTGTGCGCTTTCGCCGGGGATACAAAGGTTCGAGTACTTTGGACAATGCATTGTCCATGACTTTGGTATGATCATATGGCAATTACAACAGGAACAATAAGGTAGGTTTCCCGTTGAGTTTCAGAATTCAGGTAATTGTAAAATCTGCTCTCGATTATTGCGCAAGTGTACAAAGTATAAAGGCCGTAAAACTGTAACATGTAAGGTAATCCTTACTCTGTGCATCACACAAAAGAATTACTTTCTTTCTTGCTCTCCGGTTTTCACATATAATTTTGAGCGGGGTATCAGAACATTCATGGAGAGACCCCAGTTATAGCGGGTACACTATGCTCAACATTTGTCACCCAAAGTGCCCATAGATCCCGACACCTCTACAGAGATTGACGACAACGAAGGATTCGGTTCCCCCCGTAACCGCAACCCTAATAAACACGGTCGCAACTTTAAAGTGAGTAGTCGTGCTGATGCCGTGGTATATAGCTCTATATATACTAGCCCAGCTATACTGACATGAGTAATATCGGAATTATTAGTTCAATAAATACTAGCTGAGCTGGATACTATCCCCCGCTAAAGACCAGAGAAAGTATCCAAGTTGTGGTAGACTCAAGAAAGAGTCAAGGGCTGGCTTCTTGTCTCGACTCAAAGGTGTGGGTGTTGTCTACGTGAATACTCACGTTTGTCTGATATCGCCCTGAAATCTGCATAATGCGTTGATTGATCGTAAATTCTCTCTTATTTAATCGCTGTGTACGTGTGGAGTTATCGCTGAATGCTACTGTAACTAACTCGCTGTGTAGATTGTAATTTTAATTTGTATAGTTTAGACTATTCCCCTTATGATCATATACATATTATAATTGATAGTACAAGTTCAATTGTATAAAACCCCAATCAATATATAGTATATTTTGTATAAAAGGACATTTTACACCAGCAAGCATCTAGGAATAATGAATGATGAGCTATGAATTACATACCTAGGTATAATTCCTCAAATACAAGAGATGTAGATTACGACGGCGATCACTTGGTCAAATTACCATTTTAACAAGCGGTTTCTGGTCGATTGCGACGGTTTATATATGCACAGCTGTTCGATCGATGAATCTCAAGATCACAATGAGGATTATATCCTTGTAGAGACATTCTACTAGGTTGCAATCTTGTGTCTGAACCTGCATAGTGCATATAATTATAAATATAGGCTGCTGCAATTATAGCTCACCAAATGATTTATTTTGTGTATAATTAGTATACCGTGCATCGTGCTATTTGTTAACAAGTTGCTGCTATAATGTTTGCTCGTGTTTTGTAAGGAACTATAAGTACAGTACGCGCATTAACCTGATCATACGTCGAATCATTGCTATTACTATATTATAAAGGAGTTTTGCGGCATTCATATATTTATGAGCATATCGAGGATGCTCCATAATACTCCAACATGTATTGTGATTAATCATGTATGTTTTGGCTTGTAGTAATTATCACGGACCATTGTTCGTCAAGTATACGTCTTTTTAACAAAGGAAAGTCATTTCGAGGGGTTTGCCGATTAAGTTGTAGCTAGTCGAGAAGGGTACCTTAAACATGGCGTATCTTAGTACAATACCACCTAATACTCTGAGGTAAAATTTTAACAAAATCCGACCATTGCTTTCCGAGATTTTTTATTGGTAACGTTTCGTTATGAGGTTTTATTTTTTGCTTTTTTCCCAACGCCTCGAACTGTACTGACGTCATACAGTTTTAGTTATGAGCTTGGTATCGGCGGTCTTTAACCCCCCCCCCCCCCCCCCCCCCCCGCTATGTTATTTATTAACGTTATGAGTACGTCTCGAGAGTTGAGTGCTACAATCAAGTTTTTGTTCCAATCCTATTGACTGTAGCACCGGAGATGG